TCTTCCTCCTCCCTCCTCCTTTCCTCTTCCCTCCTCCTCCTCCTTCCCCCTCCGTCCTCTCTCCACCCCTCCTCTCTCCGGGGGTATGGGCGGGCCGCGCACCTGCCGGCCCACTCGCCTCTCGACGGCGTCGAACAGCTCCTGGTCGTGGACCCTGGCCTGCGGGCGCGCCCCCGCGCGCGCAGGGACCGCGGCACCGCCGCCCGCTCTCGCCCTCCCCCCGCGGGAGGAGGAGGAGGAGGAGGAGGAGGAGGAGGAGAGAGGAGGAGGGAGGAGGAGGAGGAGAAGGAGGAGGGGAGGAGGAGGATGAGGTTTTGAGACGGAAAGAAGAGGCGGAGGAGCGGGGACAGGAAGGAGGAGGTGGGGAGGGGAGGAGAAGGAGGAAGATAAGGAGGAGGTAGGATTCAGGAGGAGGAGGAGTGAGGAGGAGGAGGAGGAGAGAAGAGGAGGAGGATGAGGAGGAGGAGGAGGAGGAGGAGGAGGAGGAGGAGGAGGAGGAGGAGGAGGAGGGGGAGAAGGAGAAGGAGGAAAAGAAGGAGGAAGATGAGAAGGAGGAGAAGGGAGGAGGAGGGAGGAGGAGGAGGAGGAGGAGAAGGAGGAGGAGGAACAAAGGAGGGAGGGAGGAGGAGGAGGAAGAGGAGGAGGGGGCGGAGGAGGAGGACCAGTGTAAACCCAAGAGTCACCAACTATATTGGAAGAAACCCTCCCCCCAAGCTCCCTCTTCACAGGCCCCTGCAACGGTTCACTTCCACAGAGAAACCTGCCTCGTTGGAAGACAACCGCTTGAAAACCCTGAAGCATGCTAACACATCATTCTCGGTGTTCCAACGCCACGGCTGAACCTGACTGTTGCGTCTTGACGATCCTGAATCGCACCAGAACGCCATTCCTGGGACCTCAACTCCGCAAATCATCGTAACTGTTGCGCCCTCAAAATCGTGAATCCTTCCAACGCACCATTGCTGGTACGTCGATCATGAAAACCAGTGAAACTCTTGCAACCTTGTACCACGGATGTGCGCGGCGCTAATGCGAGAGCTACATGTTGTGAACACCTCGCCCTCACTCCGTGAAACTCTTGCAAATGTTTAAAGCGAATGCACGCGGCGCTAAGGCGAGAACCACATGTTGAAAACCGCCCGCCTTCAATCCGTGAAACTCTTGCAATGTATAAAACAAATGTGCGCGGCGCTAAGGCGAGAGCCACATTTTGAAAACCGCCCGCCCTCAATCCGTGAAACTCTTGCAAATGTTTACAACGAATGTGCGCGGTGCTAAAGCGAGAGCCACATGTTGAAAACGACCCGCCCTCAAAATGTGAAGCCCTTGCAAATTTTGATAAAAAGAAAGAGCACGAATATGCGCGGCGCTGAGGCGAGAGCCACATTTTGAAAACGGCCCGCCCTCCATCTGCGAAACTGGTCATTTTTAAGCGCCAGGGTCATAAATGGTGAGGAAGTCTCAAGCAAAACGCCCGGCCCGCCCTAAAAACTTGCCTCGAGGTGCGACAGGGGAAAGATATTTATAAGGAGAAGGAATGGGGGAGGAGCAGGAGGAGGAGGAGGAAGAGGAGGAAGAGGAGAAGGGAGGAGGAGGGAGGAGGAGGAGGGAGGAGAAGGCAGGAGGAGGGAGGTGGAGGAGACGGGAGGAAGAGGGCGGAGGAGGAGGGAGCAGAAGGAGGTGGAGGAGGAGGAGGAGGAGGAGGAGGAGGGAGGAGAGCGGAAGTGAGAGGGGAGGAGGACGAGCGGAGGTGAGGAGGAGGAGGAGGAGGAGGAGGAGGAGGAAGAGGAGGTAGGAGGAGGAGGAGGAGGAGGAGGGGAGAAGGAGGGGGCAGAGGAGAAGGCGGAAGAGAAGGAGGAGGAGGAGGAAGATGAGAAGGAGGAGAAGGGAGGAGAAGGGAGGCGGGGGAGGAGGTGGAGGAGGAGGAGGAGGAGGAGGAGGAGACAGCAGTAAGGAACTGTTGCTGAGCGTGTCGCGGCGGCGGCCCCGGCGACAAGCCATGCCTTGCGAGCGGATGGCGTGTCGCTCCGCTTCGCGGGGCGGAAGGCTCGGGAACAGCTCGGGACGTTGACGCCTGGGGATCGCGACGAGGACAGCGTGCCGCGCCGAGGCGTGGTGGGCCAGAGCCCGCGGCGCGACACGCGGAGCCAAAGCTCCTGACCGTAACTAGGGCGACACCCATGGAGACTCGAGCGCCCGCAGGTCTCAATGAGGGGGAACCTTTGGGGAGGACCAGCTCGGGGGGGCATCGACATGGAATCGGCGACACATCGCAAAGAAAAATCGGCGATGGGCTCTCGACAGCGAAACCGCACGGTCCTGGGCGGGGTGGGCTATCGGGCACTTCTCGGCGATCAGGGGGCGATTGGGGGATCGATGCATATCCCCCCTGAGCCTACCCCCATCCCCAATTCGTTGCCCCTGACTTGAGGTCCTGAGGACGGAGGAAGACTGACGGATGGGAGGGAGGATCGGGCCTCTGGGACGCGTGTCGCCCTCCCCGGCGGGCCTCCGGGGGCATCCGTGCGCCCAGAGAGAAGCCTGCGGGGACCCCCGTCTGGGGACTTGCCTTTCTTTCGCGCACTCTTCGAAGGAGGAGTTGGGTGGCCACTCCGGAGAGGTCTTCATGGGCACGTTTGGGAGTTATGGAGCCAGACAGATGCTACGAGAGGCACCTCAAGCCAGGGCCAGCCGGATTAGGCCAAGCACTGTGCTGGTTATACCAAGCCACATGTCAGGCCAGGTTGATCCAGACTGGTACCCAGGGACGCACCATGGCCGATGCTGAATCCCACCAGCCCTTTGGGCGTGAGTGGTTTAGGGAGCTCTCTCTGTCCTCAACCCCCCTTCTTCCCCTTCGGGGAGGGGTTTACCCCTCCCCCTCCCCCCTCCCCCTGGGCCTGGAGAGGGAGTTCCGCGGGTCGTCAGGGGGGTCTTTTTCGACGTCTGGGAGAGCCAAAAAACGACGACCCTCACGAGGATTCTGGCCCCGTCGGGGGGATACAGAAAAAACCTTCTCCTCTTCTGTGAAGCCAACATCATTGATTTTACTACGGTTTTGGCCCCCAGTTTGGCCTTCTGAGGGGGCAGCGCTCCTCTTCCTTGTTCTCAAAACCATTGATTTTACGAAGGTTTTGGGCTCATTTTGTCCTTCTCAGGGGGTAGCGCTCATTTGCGCTTCTGAGGAGGTCGCAAGAAGCCCCCCAAGATGCCCCCAGGAGGCTCCCAAGAGGCCTCCAAGAGGCTCCCAAGAGGCCCCCAAGAGGCCCCCAGAGGCTCCCAACAGGCCCCCAAGAGGCTCCCACGAGGCCCCCAGAGCCCCCAAGAGGCTCCCAAGAGGCCCCCAAGAGGCTCCCAAGAGGCGCCCAAGAGGCCCCAAGAGGCCCCCAAGAGGCTCCCAAGAGGCCCAACGAGGAGCCCGAACGACTCACACCAGGACGAGGGGCCCGAACGACTCACACCACGAAGAGCCCGAACGACTCACACCACAAGGAGGGGCCCGAACGACTCATACCAGGACGAGGCGCCCGACCGACTCACACCACGAGGAGCCCGAACGACTCACACCACGACGCGGGCCTCGAACGACTCACACCACGTGGAGCCCGAACGAGTCACACCAGGAGGAGGGGCAGCGCTCATACAAGCCCCCCAAGAGGGCCCCCAGAGGTCCACCAGATGGCCCCAAGAGGTCCCCAGATGGCCCACAGGAGGTCCCCAGGAGGCACCACGAGGCCTCCATGAGGCCCCCAAGATACCCCCAAGAGGTCCCAAGAGGCCCCAAGAGGCGCCGAAGACTCCCCAAGAGGCCTCCGAGCGGCTTCCACAAGACATCTACTACTACTTCTTCTCCTACGATTAGTACTACTTTTACTACTACTACTACTACTACTCATACTCGTTTGACTACATCATCTCGTACTACTACAACTACAACTACTCTTACGACTACTACCAGATCTACTCGAACTACTATGAGTACTACTACTACTACTACTACTACTACTACTACTACTACTACTACTACTACTACTACTACTACTACTACTACTACTACTACTACTACTACTACTACTACTACTACTACTACTACTACTACTACTACTACTACTACTACTACTACTACTACTACTACTACTACCACTATCACTACTTATTACTACTATCACAACTTCCATATAGACCACTGCTCTAGTGACTGCCTCTGTTACTGGGGCAACTAGTGCGACGACGACGTTGACGACTACGTTTGCTACTACCGCTGATACTGGAAATACCACTACTACTAGTACTACCTACTACCACTACGACTACTACTGCTACTACTCCTACGACTACTACTAGACTACTACTACTACTACTACTACTACTACTACTACTACTACTACTACTACTACTACTACTACTACTACTACTACTACTACTACTACTACTACTACTACTACTACTACTACTACTATTACTACTACTACTACTACTACTACTACTACTACTACTACTTACTACTACTACTACTACTACTACTAGTAGTAGTAGTACTACTACTACTACTACTACTACTACTACTACGACTACTACTACTACTACTACTACTACTACTACTACCACTACCACTGCTACAACTGATCCTACTGGTACTACTTCTACTACTACGACTAGGAGTCGAAGAGGAGGAAGAGGAGGAGGGAAGAAGGCGATGGGAGGTAAGACAGACGGCGACAGGATTTCAGTTCGACAAGGGTAGAATCACGGAACTCAGAGTGCGCACGTCCTGGATTAGAATGCAGGTGGTGTGCGTCGTTGGGGCCCCTCGCCCTGGTGTGAGTCGTTCGGGCCCCTCCTTGTGTGAGTCGTTCGGGCCCTTCGCCGAACGACTCACACATCGAGGAGGGGCCCGAACGACTCTGACCAGGAGGGGGGACCCGAACTACTCACACCAGGAGGAGAGCACCGAACGAATCCACTGCACCGTGGTAGCGGCCACACCCACGGCTAAAACTGCCTGATATCCCAGTGTGGCAAAGTAGCGATACCACCCATTACTGATGCAGCGGTGTATCACAAGGTACTCCCAGTACTGGACGAGAGACTATACACCATCTCGGCCCACTGCCGGACCCCCGAAGGAACCCAGCAATCACCAAAAATAAGAGGCAATAGCGGCGAGTACAGTAACCAGCACCATCACCTCAGCAGAATAACAAGCACCAGTACAGAATACAGAAACCAGTACCGTTGGCGCTAGGGGCCTTCTGAGGGGGCAGCGCTAATTAAAGCTCCCCTCTTCTGTCAAGCCAGAAACATTGATTTTACTAAGGTTTTGGCCCCATGTTGGCCTTCTGAGGGGGCAGCGCTAATTAAAGCTCCCCTCTTCTTTGATCGATTTCCTCCAAGATGGCCCCAAGAAGCGCCCAGGAGGCACCAAGAGGCCCCAGGATGGCCCCAAGAGGCCCCCAGGAGGCCCCCAAGAGGATCCCAAACGGCCCAAAGAGGCCCCCCCGAGGCACCCAAGACGCCGAAAAGCCCATCAGGACGACCCTCAACTCGCCTGGGCGTCGTTTCTGGACGGGCAGGAGGAGGGGCCCGAACGACTCACACCAGGACGAGGGGCCCGAACAACTCACACCACGAGAAGCCCGAACGACTCACACCAGGACGAAGAGCCCGAACGACTCACACCACGAAGAGCCCGAACGACTCACACCAGGAAGAAGGGCCCGAACGACTCACACCAGGACGAGAAACCCCAAACGACTCAAACCACGAGGAGCGCTTTCTCTCCCTCCTCCTCCGCCTCGTCCTTCTCCCGCTCCCACCACAAGGAGGATGTACAAGGAGGCGGGAGGAAGGAGGAACAGGGGAGATATGCGGGGGCAGGCGGAAACACGCCTGAAAAACACGACTCTCGGCATGCTTCGCTAGAGTTGCTGTTTTGAGATGGGCTGGTGGGGATACGCGAAGCGTGAAGAATTCATCCTGCCAGGACTGCAACCTACGAGGAGGAAAGAGGAAGCATGGAGAATAGGAAGGATCGATATCTTAGTCTTTTTTTCTGAGGCCTGAGGAATAACTACTCTGGAAACCTCCATGGACCTCTTGAGTTCCTCCAGGGACCCTGGAGACCTCCTGGAGCCTCGGGGGGACGATCATCGGAGAGGCCGGATTAGCACCAAGGGAGCACCACGGCCGATGATTCAAAAACCCTCGCAGGGACTGCGACCTGGGAGGGCGGAGACGCGGGATCGAGGGCCTCAGCCTCTTCTCTCTTGGAGAGCCTCTAGACGCCCCCTAAGCTTCCAGGGGCCTCCAAGGACCCCCCCGGCAGCTCGCCCCTCCCCTCGAGCGCCTGTTCAACCACGCTCCCCTCGTGAGCGTTTTTTTGTTATTCGGCGTTTCGACATTGGGAGGAGTGGGGGTAGGGCTCTGGACCTCTGCTTAGTGCGACTGTTTGCAGCAGTGCGTCCAATATGGGGAAGGCTCCACCTGCTCGAAACAGGCGCCAAAAACAGCCAAGATCTACTCCATGGGGGGGGAGGGTGGTTTGGGGGGCCCGCGCCGATCGGCAAAACAATGAATACAAAACGATCACCTCCCACTTGATCCGGTTGGGGTGTTTTGGGATGGCTCTCGTCTCCCTCGTGCGCCTCCAGTCTTTCCTGCCAGGGACCCCTCGAGAAGTTTGTGGGCCGCACTCGCAGGTTCTGGCGAGGGGGGGGGCGCCGCTCTTCCGCACCACCCTCCTGGCCCAACCTCACGTTCGAAGTGGTCCCACAGGACCCCAGAGATATAACATTGTGCCCACTACAGACGGACCTGGGTCAGAATAACATCCCTCAAGAATATGAGACCCTCAGGCCGGTCAAAACACACAGAACAGCCAAGAGTACCCTCCCCAGTGGGCTCAAGAGCACCCAACAGACACAAAGAAAACGGGGGTACCCTCCCCGAACCGACCTCGATCTTATACCTAGGTCCGACTGTACACACCACTCTCCTGGCCCAATCTGACGTTCGGAGTGGTTCAACAGGACCAGAGAGACAAAAAACATGTGCCCAATAGGTAATCGATGTTCTGACCGTCGCCGTGCGCGGGTGCCCTTCACACTCCCAGCTGTTGCCAGCCCAACGAAGCACTCGGTGTGTGTTCCAGGTGCGCGGAGCCTGGCCGCCACCCGAAGCCTACCAGACTGCAACAGAATCCCCGGCGCGCGCGGCCCACAATGGATCTGTGGCTTGGGCGCAAGGGCCTGAGGTTCCCGCTCACGACGGTGGCTTGAGCCAAAATGGATGCGGGGTCCTCACTCTCAAACTCAATATTCCCCCGCATCCTCCTCCTCCGCCTCCTCCTCCATCTCCTGCTGCTCCTCCTCTTCCCTCGCCTCCTCCTCCTTCTACTCCTCCTCCTCCTCCTCCTTCTCCTCCTCCTCCTCCTCCTCGCCTCCTCCTCGCGCTGTCCCATTTGCCTTCTCCTCCTTCTCCTCCTCCTCCTCCTCCTCCTCCTCCTCCTCCTCCTCCTCGTCCTTGCCCTGCCCCCCCTTCTCTTCTTCCTCGCGGCCAGCACAGTGCCACCACGCCCAAGGACGGGCTCTCGGCGGGCACCGAAGAAGACCGCAGAGCGCAACCTCCTCCTCGATGTCACCATTTCCCTCCTCGACTTCCCCTCCTCCTCGATTTCAACATTTCGCGATGGAGGTCTGCAACGAGCAAGCTCAGAACAAACCAAACGAGGTGAAGGGGCCCAGGGGTGGTAGCGCTGAAGTCCCAGGAATGGTGTCCTGGCACCATGTAGGGCTGTCAGGACGCAACGGTTCAGTTGATTCGGAGCGTTGACGTCCCAGGAATTGTGTTTTAACACGGGAGGATTCGCAGGCGGTTCTCTTCGACTGGGGCAGTTCCCACACTGAAGACACATTATTATAGGGGGCCTTGGAGAAAAACCTTGGATGGAGGGTTGATTGCAACATCGTTGATGCGCATTGGATTTACAATGATCATCCTTCTCATCCGCCTCCTTCTCCTCCTCCTCCTCCTTCTCCTCCTCCTCCTCACCATCATCATCATTTCATTCTGCCCCGTCCTCGTATTCCTCATCCTTTTTGCTCCTCCAGCTCCAGCGCCTGCGCCTGCGGCTCCTCCTCCTCCTTCCTGCTCATCCCATCCTCCTTCCTATGATCGGATTCCCTGATCGCTCTGTTGCTCCCGCTCAAGATCCAGCGGCTGCGCCTCCTCCTCCTCCTCCTCCGCCTCCTCCGCCTCCTCCGCCTCCTCCTCCTCCTCCTCCTCCTCCACATCGTCGTCCTCCTCCTCATCCTGCCGCCGGAGGCGCCTCGCGCCGCCACCCATGCGCGCTGCCGGAGAGCGCCAATGCCGCGCCCGCAGAGCCCCGCAGAGCACCACAGGAGCCCTCCAACCAGCGCGGTCCAAAAACCTTCGACCTGTCTGCAGAACTTCCGGGGCAAAGCCGAGTCCGCCGAGGGAGGGGAGAGGAACTAGGAGGAGATGGAAAGAAGGCGAGAGGGTGAGATTGTGAGAGGATGAAGGTGAGAGAAAGGAGGAGGGGGAGAGGAGCAGAGCGAGAACGTGAGAAGGGGAGAGGAAGGAGGAGGAGGAGGAGGAGGAGGAGGAGGAGGAGGCAGAGGAGGAGATGGACTATGTGGGAGATGAAGGAGGGAAGGAGAAGAAGAGGACAAGGAGGAGGAGGAGGAGGACCTGTGTAAACCCCAGAGGCATCAACGATGCTGCAATACACCCACCCGCCCCAAGTCCCCTTCCACATACGTCCCCACAAGAATTCCCTTCCACTTCCAGACGCGCCCCGTTGGACGCCAACACCTGATGGGCCTGCCACTGTGGCGAGAGCCCCGTTCTGAAAAGGAGCGAACAGCCCTGCAGCCTTCCGTCGAGTGGCGAGGAACGCGCAGCGATATGGTCGCACAGTTCAGAGAGGTGCCCGCGAGATAACCGGTTTGAGGGCACACCTTCCCGCCCATGTAACTCTTATAGAAAGTTTCCCGTCTGGCCATGAACTTCGAGGAACTCCCGAGCAACCACCATGTTGAAAAAAAAACGCCCTCGATCCGTGCAACTGCTGTACCTGCTCAAGCGCCTGGCCCTCGCAACGACAGGAGCCTCAAGCGGAACCCCGATGTCGAACAGGAGCCGCCCCTCACCCGTGCCGCTGTTGCACAGGTGCAGGTTGCTGACCTTTGAGTACGAATCCATCTCAAGAGAGAACGAGCTTTGAAAAGGAAGCGCCCACAATCCTTGTACCTGTTGCAAGCGTCAAGCGCGAATGTTCGCGGCGTTGGGGCAGAGAAGCCCATTTGACAAAAGAGCCGCCCCCCTCCTCACAACTTCTGCAAACGTTGACAACGATTGTGCAGAGCGCTGAAGCGAGAGCCATATTTTGAAAGGCCTCACACCTTGAAGCAGCTGCAAACTTTTAAGACGAACGCGCGCGGCGATAAGGCGAGAGCTAAATTCTGAAAACGACCACACCTCCATCCGTCAAACGGATGCTAACTGGTAAGACGAATGTGCGCGATGCTCAGGCGAGAGCCACATTTCGAAAACAACCTCCCTCCGTCCTTGAGGCTGCAAACTTAAAGACGAACGCTTGCGGCGACACGGCGAGAGCTACAGGTCGAAAATGACAAACCCTCCATCCTTGAAACCAGTGCAAGTTCCAAGCTCCAAGATCATACATGGTGAAGGGATCTCAGGGGAAATGCGCGGCCCGCCCTACCGACACGTCTGGTGGGGAGGAGCTACTTGTCCATACGGAGAATCTATGAATGAGGAGGAAAGATGGGGAGATGGAGGATGAGGACGACGACGGCGAGGGAACAGGGAAAGGAGGGGAGAGGAGGAAGGAAGGGGAGAATGAGGTGGTGGGAGAGGGGGAATCGGATGAAGATGAAGAATGAGGTGAAGAGGGGGAGGAGCAGGAAGAGGGGGAAGAGGAGCAGGAGGAGCAGGTGGAAGAGCGAGAATCGGGGGGAAGCGAGCAGCAGGAGGAGGAGCAGGAGCGAGCAGAAGGTGGCCTTGCTGAAACTCCACATGAGGTACACGCAGGTGATCGGAGAGAGCTCATCGATGTTCTGGAGCACAGCCGCCGACAGAGCCTGTCACGGCCGCTACCCCGAAGACTGGCTCCCCGCTGGAAGGGAGATATGGATCGGGATCGTGGGTCAACGTTTTGACAGTTATTGACCTCGCAGAGTTCTCGATGGCCTCGGGGGATCGCATCTTCAAGGAGACTGCGCAATGTCATGCGGACCCAGGCGTTCCAGTCGTGGTGGTGCAGAGGGCAGAAAATCCAACCCCATAATAGCCACCCCGACAAGCGAAGCCGTTTAGTAAACGCACCCAGAGAAGGAATCGAACAGGGCAGAGCTGGCGGAAGGATCGAGCGGGACGCTACCCACCCCCAGTTTGTCACCACTGTGGCCCGAGCGGTGTCCGAGCCTTGGTCTGGAGCCTCAAGGGCCACGCAGGCCTCGTGGGCGGAGCTGGCGGAAGGCTACCCCGACGGGGCCGCGGATGTGGGTGAAGAGGCTGATGCGGACCCAGACGGACCCGAGGGCTCGGACGCGAGCGAGGACGAGCAAGAGACCAGGCCAGCCAAGCGAGCCGGGGCCAAGAGCCCAGGGGCCGAGGAGCCGGAAACCCGAACCCGAAGCTCCACTGTAACATGGGCCGTCCGGACAATCGCGAGTTCGTCAGAGTGCTTCGGGCGGGGGGCACCAAGCAGAGACTCATCCGATGGGCCCGGAGGCACTTCACCTGCTCGGACTGTGCTGAGCGCTCACGATCGGGGGCCCATCGGCGCTTGGCGCTGCCCAGGACTTTCAGGTTCAATCACATCGTCGGTGCTATTTAGTAGAGTTCCAAGGCGTGACCCACCCGTATCTCAACATAGTCGATCATGGATCTAACCATCTAACCTTCAAGTGGTTTCGAGAGTCGAGAGTGCCACGGCAACCGCGGTGTAGTCCGAGTTCGTGAGATCGTGGATCCGCCCATTAGGTGCGCCTCATCTGATCATCTCCGATGGTGGCTCGGAGTTTGGGACTCGTTTCGCCCGGGGGCTTGAACAGTGGGGGGTTTTCCACCATGTGTGTGACGCCGACTCTCCCTGGCAGAACGGGAGGGTCGGAAAGCACGGTGGCCGGATCAAGGATCGGGTGCGGGCAGAGCTGGAGACAGGCTCTTCCCTACCCTCCAACCTCCAATCTTCAAGAGCTAGACGTCTTGATCTTCGAGCTCGCGTCACAAACATCTGTTTTGGCACCGCGGGGGCTCTTCTCCCCTCCAACTCGTGTTCGGCGAGAACCCCCGTCTCCCAGCTCCTCTCGGAGGACCACCTGGCCGTGCCGGGTTGGCAGGACCTCACCAGCCCATCGTCAGAACAGGATGAGGCCGGTGCCGAGTTTGCCAGTCAGGTCGGGCATGTCCTCCTACAGGCGGATTCTTGACGAACCATGAAAGACAGTCAAACTGATTCAAAAATGATCAAACAATAATCAAACAATAGTCCCCTGGAGTATTTTAAAACTCTTTGTAAACATTCCTCCTGTAGAGGGACAGGCCCGACTTAATGCCAGAACTCACGCTATAAGAGCGGCCGCCCGGAAGCTCGCCATGGAGGCCACTGCCCAGGACCAAATCGCACGGGCAACCCCGGGCCAGGACTCCAGGCACCAGGAAGTTCACTCCCGGCCACGTGGGTGTTTGCGCGGCGTCACTTCCCTCGCATCCCGTCTCGTGATGACGCCTAGGGCGGCGCCGGGCGGGTTGGACGGGTCCTGGGGTCGTTGTGTTGGCCGAGGGTGGCAATGTGTGGGTTGCGGTCCGGGCCCGTCTCTGGCAGTGCTCCTCGGAACAGGTTCGGCTTACCGGTCCGGAGGAAGAGTACGGACTACAGCTGGCGGAGGATCCGCGTTGGCAGGACCTCCTTCAGGCGGTCCAGGCTAGACGAGTGACGGCGGTCGACGTCCAGCGGGAGGGGCTCCCTCCCGAAGACGCCCGGGACCAGGCGGCTCAGACCGACTTAGACTCGGGGCCTCGAGTTCCCCGGGCCAGACCCGAACCGGAGAGACTTCGGTCGGGCACGTCCCCCTACAGGCGGATTTTGAACGAAAAATAAAATAAAATAAAAAGACACAAAGCATATTCAAAAACTACCAAAAATAGTCGAAAAATCGTCCCCAGAATACTTTTGAATACCCCTACCCGTAGAGGGACAGGCCCGAGCCTCGCTCCGGGACCGGCGCCTCGAGCCCCCGCGGCCGTCCGCGACGGGGACCTCGGGCCTCCCACACGGAGGCCTCCCCGCGGGACGGCCCGTCTCGAGCCGGACAGGTGGCCGCCCAGCCTGGGTCGGAGAGGACGGGGCTCCGCTCCACATCTGAGTTCGCATCAGGTCGGGCTTGTCCCCCTACACGGGGATGTTCAGCCAAAAATCAAAAACACTCCGAAAATGCTCCCAAAATGCTACAAAAAATAGTCAGCAGATGGTCCCCCGACTATTTTGGGGCTGTTTCTGGATAGCCCTCCTGTAGAGGGACAGGCCCGACCTAAAGTTGGCACCCTCGGGAGGGGAGCGGTCGGCCACGAGTCCCCCCCCCCTAAGTCCTCTGCTGCCTCCGAGGGGGGCCGAGCTCGAGCCTCGAGGAGGTGCCACGGGGGGCGGAGGGCTCTCCGAGAGCCCCTCCCCCCCTGCCGAGCCCGCTGCCTCTGCCGCTTCCTCTCTCCTCCTCTGCCCCCCTGCTCCCTCCGCCTCCGTCCCCGGGGGATGCGAGACCCAAGGGTCGGGGATGGACAGACCTCCCTTTCAGTAAAACGTGGTTTAGCGAAAACGACCTGAGGCCCAAGCCTGGCGGGCGCAAGCCTGGAAAAGAACGGCCACGGCGCCCTCTCGAGAACCGAAAACGGACGATTCACTAATCGACGTGTCACTGTTGGGGGTTCTGTCCACCTCCGAAAGGTGCGGGGCCGGCTCTCCCAGCCGGACGACGTCCCGTCCTGCCTCAGGACGGCACGCGCCGGGAGCGCGCCGCCCGAGGTCAAAAGGGCCAGGATACCCTCGAGGCCCGAGCGTCCTCGTCGTCTGATCCCTCCCTCGGTCGGTGAGCTCCTCCTCCTCCTCCTCCTCCTCCTCCTCCTCCTCCTCCTCCTCCTCCTCCTCCTCCCGCCCCCTCCGGTGGTGGTGGTGGTCACGACTCCCTGGTTCCCTCTCTGGCCAGGTGGGGGGCCGATCGAGCCGGGACACGCGCCCCAGCGCTCGGTGCAGGAACGTGTCCATGCCCTCGAGCCCAGGACGAGGTCTCAATCCCCAGGGCGAGGAAGTGTCATAGAGGGAGCGGTCGAGGAGATCGACGCCGCAAAAGATTTTGGCTGGTCCTGGGAGCGATGGAGGGCCTCACCGTTTGCGCGGCGCAGCCGGAGGCCTGGGTCGGGCGCGTGGACGAGAGCAGTCACAACGGAGGCACTTTCGCTGCCAGCCGCGGAGGGGAAGTTACGCTGAAGAAGCTCCCTCACCAGGAACGGCAAAACATCTAGGCGTCGGATAGGAAGGAGTGGCAGGCGATGCTGCAGTCCGGGTGCGTCGGAGTCATCCCTCCGCCTCAGGCTGCGACGATCTGGAAGCACTGCGCGGACAGGATCCTCTCGAGTCGGATGGTCCAGAGGTGGAAGCCGGTGGAAGGCACTTTCGCGGAATCTGAGGCTAAGTCACGATGGTGCGTCCACGGGCTGATGGACCCTGACTCGGGGTCCCTGGCCGTGTATGCGCCGGACCCCCAGACATTCTCGATAATGATGTTTGTCCAGGTCCTGGTCAACTTCGGTATGCCAGGTGACATCGCCGATGTCAAGAACGCCTTCACCAAGTTCGACCCCATGACCAGGTGCCCGGGCCAAATGTATGTCGAGCCGTGCGACGGCATCGAGGTCGAGCCGGTTTCTTTGATCCACCTTCTGGTGAACGTGTACGGCCTGGACGACGCCCCAGTCGTATGGCGTCGTCCAGTGGTTAGCTATCTAGAGAAGCACGGGTTCGTACGCAGTCTATTGGAACCATGCTGGTAGCTGAAGGACGGCCGAGACGGAAGTATCCAGAACATGATGCTGCTGGAAGTCGACGACTTCTTCATCGGCAGTGCGAGCCTCCAGCTCCTGTGTCCGAGGGGTGTTGGCAGAACGCTCTCGTTTCGGCAAATACCAGGACTGTCATGCCGGTCCTGTGGATTTCGCTGGCCGGCGGGTTTCATGTTCTCCCGGAAGAGCTGTCATCGACCAAGAGAAGTGCATCCTGGAAGAAATTCGACCTCTCACGCTGGCCCGTGGGCGGCTGTCCGACAAGAGCTCGCCCCCCGAAGCCCTCCGAGTTCAAGGCGCTACGATCCCTCGTGCACAATGTCAACCGGGCTGGCCGAGGGTCCCGACCAGAGGCGGCGGGCGTGGCCCGCCTCTTTGCCAGTGGGCTGAAGGCACCCACCGTGTCGGACGGTGCTTGCGCCAACAAGCTCGTCAAGCACCTTCGGGCGACGGCCTCCAGGGGACTGGACCCGGAGAGAGTGGCGTTCGTCTCCTTCGCCGATGCCGGAGGCGTCGGTTCGGCCGAATCTCTCGTGGACGACAATGGGCTGCCGGCGGATCCCACACAGGGAGCTTGGGTGGTGCTGGCGGCCGACAGATCCGTTCTGGACAATCAGGCCGTCAAGACTTCGATTCTGGGCTGGCGTAGCAGGAAGCTACGACGCAAGGTCACATCCCCGTTTGGCGGAGAGACACAGGCTCTCTCGGCCGCCGTGGCCGAGGTCGAGTACCTCCAAGGTCTGTATCGAGATGTTGTCTTTCGTGACGTCGATCTCCCAGATTGCATAAGGGCCTCGGGACCATTGGGCTCACGAGAACAACAGGTCCACGTGGTGGACGCGAAATCCATCTACGACACGATGCAGAAAGAAGACAATGCCTCAGCACGTGATCACCGGACGGTCCTCGACCTGGCCATCATCTGTGAATCGCTTGAGCGGGCAAAAAGGTCGTATGTCGTATCCGTTGGATTCCCCACGGAAGAATGCGGTCGACGCTGTCACTAAAGACGACATCACCAATTGTAATGCTGCGCTCTTCGAGTTTATGTCAAACGGCAAGCTTGTTCTAGTAGACGAGGAATTGGAGGTGGACCGTCGCAGGGAGTCGCCGGAGTTCAAGGATCGATCACAGTCAGCCTCTCGCAGAGTCCTGTCTGGGGCGTCCTGGGTTACATGGAAAGAACACCTGGATGAGCTCGCTCCTCCTGAACTGGTCGACAGTGGTGGTAGTGGTGTCCTCCAGTCGTCCTTCCTCTCCTCCTCCCACCTCCCATCATCATCGTCCGACTCCATTTCCCAATAGTCTGCTACTCTGTCTCTATCTTCATGCTGCTGCTGCTTTAGCTTGAGGGTTCGCGGGTCAGGGCCGGTCCGACCCGCCACTGCACAGCCAGTGGACACGGAACTCTGGAGCAGTTTTCAGGGGACAGCTAAACCTAGAGACAGTTGGACCCATGCTCCAGGGGGGAATATTTCGTCACTAGGTTTGGCTTTTGCGCTTCCCTCCAAGGACAGATGGTATGAGATCCATCTTGTGTGCGGTCCGTTCCATATTGGGCTCAAGAGAAAAAAATGTCTCCTCTCCTGCTGCCACACTATTACGTCGTGATTTCTTCACGAAGTGTGGGCTGACCCCACAGTTCGGCCCCTCTGGCAAGACCCCAGCCCCCCGCCCCTCCCAGGCCGCATGGCATACCCTGAGATCCGACGCTGCGACAAAAATGCAACATCGCGAAAAATCACGACCGGAGCCCGGGACCCCATCTTTCCTGCGTCATTCTTCAAGCCGGATCGATAAGTGAGGGCCTTGGGGCCCGAAGTTGAGTGAAAACGCCCATTGTGAAAAATTGCAACGCCAGGATCTTATATGGTTTCTTCACGACGCGAGGGGTCTGGCCCGACCCCACGGTTCGGCCCCTCTGGCAAGACCCGGGCACCCGTCCCTCCCAGGCCGCATGGCATACCCCCCAGACCCCGACGTCTTGATTTTGTCATGACGCGACCCCCAGAGGTCCAGACCCATTCCGCAGGACCAGCTTTTCATCCTGAGTCGTTTTTGAAGGTCCCGAGTCCCCGTGAGGGCACCCAGGGGCCGAATATAGCGACAAACCTCCCGTCGTGATTTTGTCGTGACGCGGGGGGGTCCGGGCTCCCAGGCCGCATGGCATACCCCGGGCTGGCTGGCCCACCCCCCGGGCCGGGCGCTCCACGCGGCCCGCACGGGCGCCGCGGGCTGGCTGGCCCAGAGCGAGCGCAAGGTCGCCATCTCGCCCAAAACTGCTCCGCACGTGCGCGGCCGGAGGGCCCTCGCTCCGACAGCGCAGACCCCCTCGAGCCATGACAAAAAAAAACACGGCGGGAGGCTCCTCGCTCGGTTCGGCCTCTGGGGGCCCTCCCTGGGCCTCGGGGCCGTCAAGAAGCGACCCGGGAGGAGGAAGCGGCCCCCGGGAATGGGTCCGGACATCTGAGGGTCCCCCGGAAGCCAAAGCCTCGTGGGGGACCCCTCTGGCGTGGTGCTGTCAGCGATCTTCGAGTGTCTGGTCGTGTCTGTTTTCATGTCCCTCGGAAGACAAAGCCTCGTGGCTACGTCCTGGGGCCCCTAGGGCGTGATGCTGTCCGCGATCTTCAGGTGTCTGGTCGTGTCTCTGATCATGCCCCTCGGAAGGCAGAGCCTCGTGGCTATGTCCTGGGGCCCCTCTAGGGCGTGGTGCTGTCCGCGATCTTCAGGGGTCTAGTCGTGTCTCTGATCATGCCCCTCGGAAGGCAGAGCCTCGTGGCTATGTCCTGGGGCCCCTCTAGGGCGTGCTGCTGTCCGCGATCTGCAGGGGTCTGGTCGTGTCTGTGTGCATGCCCCTCGGACGCCAGGAGCCTCGTGGCTACGTCCTGGGGCCCCTATAGGGCGTGCTGTGCTGCCGCGGTCGCGGAACAATCATGGCGTCAGGGGGGGGGGGTGAGGAGGAGGAGGAGGAGGAGGAGGAGGAGGAGGAGGAGGAGGCGGAGGAGGAGGAGGAGGAGGAGGAGGAGGAGGAGGAGGAGGAGGAGGAGGAGCTGGAGAGGGCCCTCGCGATCCGACCCCGCGCAGGACTGCCCGGAGGTCCTGTGGCGTGGCACTCTGCGCCCTCCGCGGGCGTCGTCGCCCGATGTCTCGGGCCCCCCGGGCCCCAATTTCGGGCGTCTCCTCGCCCAGACCCCTCGCGTCGTGAGGAAACCCCATAGGACCCTGGCGCTGCAGTCTTCTCACACCACGTGCGTTTTCGCTCCACCTCGGGCCCCGAGGCCCTCACAGGTCGATCCGGCTCGGAGGATGGCGCAGAGGGATGGGGTCCCGGGCTCCAGTCGCATGTTTTCGCGACGATGCATGTCTGTTGGCAGCGTCGGACCTCGGGGGAAGCGAGCACTGCGTCGTCGTCTCGCCCCGCACTGTTCAGCATGTGCGAGGGCGGAGAACCCTCGCTGAGACTGCACAGACTGTGGCACGTGAAATCACTGCTGGCTCGTCAAAGTAAGGCTTGCCTATACCACGAGGCGTTCAGGATTCACTGTGCTGCACCCGTACAGTGGCACCATGGAGCAAGAGGTCAATGGCATGTCGAACATCGAATTCAGCAGCAGCTTGTTTGGCACACGTGTTCGTGGAGATTCGAGCGATGCCACGGCCCTCTCTTCTGTGCCACAGCGGCGAGCCATATTTGGCAGCCCCCACGCCGCCTCGAAGAAGACGCCGTGCGCGAAGTCTCTGGAATAAGCCTCGGGATCTGAATCAAAAACGAGAATCCACTGTGGAACTGCTGACCCGATGGCATTGGAAAGAAACCGATCTCGATCTCCATCATTCAGGCAGTCTTCCGTCACCGATCGCCAAAAAGCGGCGGGCGCACGGCGCGACGCCCATGCCAGAGATAGGGTCGAGAGAGACACCGAATTTTTGAGGACCTGCAACACAGAGGTCAAACAATCATTCTAGAAGTGCACCCCATTGCGCATAAAAGTGCGACCACCATCCCATGGTGGGAACATGCTCCTCCCTCCAGTCTGGGCATTCGTGGACATTGGGGGGCCTCGAGGTTGGTCATGCTGTCTCCTGCCGTGATCCTCCCCCTCCCTCTCCTCATCCCTCCTGCGGCTTGGCAGCAGGGGTACTGGCCCCAGTACGCTCTACCTCTTTGCATCCTGGTCCAAATGACCTCTGGCTTGCTGTCGTGGGGAGGGTAGCTTTGAAGCGGATGTCGCTAGTATGTGGTATGTGTTGGCAGCACTTGGGAGCACCATGAATGAAACATCTACAAGTCGAAATGGCCCTTTAGTAAAGTGCTGCCAACGGCGGTGATCGAAAATGCCGTGGACAATGGTTACGTCATCGTCACTATTACGATCATGAAGAACTGTGAAGCTCTCAACGACGGGTATGTCGGAGGTTGCTCCACAATGACAACCGTACACTACCTGATGGGCAATAGTCGAATTCAAATAATTCGTTCCCACATCGTGTTGCGAGCACCATGCTAGCACGAACATGCTTGCGTTGGTATACACAGAATATACGTACAATGATACATCGATCTATATACCCTCTCTCTCACACTCTCTGTCTCTCTGTCTCTCTCTCTCTCGCTTTCTCTATTTCTCTCTCTCTCTCTCACTCTCTCTCTCCCTGTTGTTCCACAAGTTCGTACGATGACACCACAAAGCCTGAAATGCGTGCGCACAGGACCCGCGACATGCTGCAGCATGACCCGCATCTGCACACAACCCATTGCTGGATTCTGGTGCCCAGCTTCACCGCACACACACACACACACACACACACACACACACACATCGAGCGCCTTCAAGATTCACGACGAAACTGGACTGGACCTCGTGTGCGCGCGCACCGAAGGGGCAAAAGAAGAAAAGGAAGGTGGAGACAAAAACGGAGGGGGAAGATTTAGGTCGGGCAATTCCCCCCCCTACAGGCTGCTTTGGAGGGACAAGCAAACGACACAAACTCGAAAAACGAGTGCTCAAAAACGGTCAAACATGGTAGAAACATCGTCCCCTGTAGAGGGACATGCCCGACTTCAGCGAACAGCTTTCAGTGGCACGCCCTCGACCTCCACCTCCCGCACCTGCCGGACAGGGGCTGCCGCGCAGCAGCGGCCGCCTCAGAGCGGCCACGGCCCAGCCCGCCGTCGAGGCCGCAGCGGCGGCCTCGGCGGCCTCCGCGGCCACGCCGCGGCGGCCACGGCTGCGCGGACCACGCGCTGCCCCCCCCCCCCCCCCCGAGGCGCCCAGGCCCGCACCTCCGGGGCGCGGGCAGCGGCCTCCGAGCCACAGCTTCAAGGGGCCCCTGGGACACGCAGAAGAAGCAGACACAGATCCCAGGACTCCCCAGAGCTGCTCCTCTTTTCTGGGCTTCCGTCGTCCTCCCCACTGCCCCTATTTTCCTATATATCTTCCTCTCCTGCTGCAGCACACCACCCCCGGGGCCGTCGGGCGGCGGGGCCGGCCCCGCCCGACCGATATCGCGCGGCGCCGACCCCGCCATCGAAGCTCGCGAGGAGGTCCCGGCGGCCGGCCCGCGCACCTCGACCCAGACCCGCCAAAAAACAACACATATTGAAGAACCGATCCCCGGGGACAAGTCCGGACATCTGGGCCCAGAAGGCCGACGTCATGATTTTCTCACGACGCGACGCCCCGAGGTCTCGACCCATTCCCCAGGACAGGTTTCTCGTCCGGTTTTTGGACGGCCCCGAGGCCCTGTGAGGGCCCCCAGAAGCCGAATATAGAGAAAAACCTCCCGTCGTGATTTTTTCTTGACTCGAGGGGGTCTGGGGGGGTCGTGTCATGAAAAAATATGACGTCGTGGGTCTGGCTCCCCAGGATGAAAAATATGACGTCGTGGGTCTGGCTCCCCAGGAGGGCGCCACCCAGCTGAGATGATGGGCGCGCCCAAAGCAGGCGGCGAGAGGGGCAAAATGAGGAGCCGGGGCGCCCCAGCGGCCGAAGGCGGAGCCGAAGCCCCCAGCAGCTGGGAGTACGGTGCGCCAGGCCCACCCGGCGCCGCGGGGGAAGACCCGACGGCCGAACCCAGACCCCTCGAGTTATGAAAAAAACACTACGGGCGGTGTTTCGCTGATTTCGGTCTCTGGGGGCCCTCACTGGGCCTCGGGGCCGTCAAAAAACGACTCAGGATGAAGAACCGGTCCTGGCGAATAATTAGGTCCAGACCTCTGGGAGTTGCGTCATGAAAAAAACATGACGTCGGGGTAAGCCCACGTCACAGACCCCTCGAGTCATGAAAAAAATCACGGCGGGACGTTTTTCGCTATTTTCGGCCTCTGGGGGCCCTTACCGGGCCTCGTGACCGTCAAATAACGACTCGGGATGCAAAAACTGTCCCCAAGAATTGGTCCGGACCTTTGGGGGTCGCGTCATGAAAAAATCATGACGTCGGGGGACTGGGGTCCCAGGTCATTCTCCGAGCCGCGCCCCCCGCGTCTCCGACGCACACACACACACACAAACACACACACACACACACACACACACGCACGCGCGTGCGCACACACACACACACACACACACACACACACACACACACACACACACACATTCGCACATATTCACACACACGCACAAACACACACACACACACACACACACATAGACATAGCGAACGAACGGCTCTTGAGACAGGGAACCGGCCAGCTAATGCGAAACTCAGATTCCCCCACCCATCCTGCGGTGTTGGGCATTCGCTGTGGACGGGCAGCGCCGAACTCCGCCTTCCTCCTCCTCCCCACCCCCCTCCTCTTCCTCCTCTTCCTCGTCCTCCTCCTCCACCTATTATTCATCCTCTTTCTGGTCCATGTCGGCACACCCCTCATCATCGTTGCCATGGTCATCCCCTCCCTGGTCCTTTTCTTTCTCCTGACTCGATGGGGGGTGCTGAAGAAGCGTACGGTTCCTGGGCCCCCCTCCTGCCCCCCTCCGCCCCCGCCGCTGTGTTGGGCATCCGACCTCCTCTGCAGCTTGACGCATGACGTTTCCGCCTCCTCCTGCTTCTCCTCTGCCACCTCGTGCTGCTCCGTCTCTTCATGCTGAAGATCCTTTTCCTGCTGCTGCTGCTGCTCCTCATCGTCCTCCTTTTCCTCCTCCCGAACCTGCTCAACGACTTAATGACGAATGACTGTCCGCCTCATCAACCTGATCCTCCCCCTGTTCCGCCCCCCCTTGGATTCGAACGTTGCTTCGTTACTATAGGGGGAATCATGAGACAAAGGTCGAAACACTGATTCCGCCTATCTGTGCACGCGCGGTCTGGCGAAGACGGACGGCATCAACACGACGCAAAGGAGCGTCGTGGATTCGAGCGTTTGGTTTGGACGCACGCCGCACACGACGACCCTGACAACCTTGCTGTGCAGCCGCCATTTCTGTTTTACGGTGTTGCACGGGCACGCAAAACACCGCCCAGGTGAGCGTTAGTTCGCGCCCGCCCCACCCTCGTGCACCATCCCCCTCCTCCTCCCCATGCCCCCTCTCCTTCGCCTTATCCTCCTCGTGCCCATCCAACTCCCCCCTCCTCGTCATGCCCCTCCTCATCCTCATTGTCATTTTCCTGTCCCTTTCTGCCTCTGCGCGGCGTTCCTCCTCTCCTTCCTCCGTCCGACACGCACCCCCCTCTGCGCCCTCGCCACCCCCCCCCCCTTTTCCGACGGCCATGCGCAGTTCATCCCACCTCCTTCTCCCCCCCCCCCGTTGTCCTCGTCCTCGCGATGCTGGCACCGCTGCAGCAGTTCCTCCTGAGCCCATTTCCCCCCTCCCCCCCTCCCCCATTTCATCCCCCGGCCTCGTCGCCACCCGTTCTCTCGCACAATTTCCTTCCCATCGCGCATCATCCCCAAGCACACGCGCCTTTGTCCTCCCAAACCACGGCCCCCTCCGTGACCGGCAGGGAGACCTGCGGAAACTCCCACCCAGGCGCCGCTCCAGCTGGTAGCGCGCAGCGCGTGCACAGTTGGACACACGAACTGTGCATTTCGCCCGCGCGCAAAGCCCCCCCGAGGACAATCCGAGAGAATCGCGAAACTTACCGCCAAGTCACCACTACCCGCGAGGAGCACACTCCAAATACACAGACGGGAGCACGATCTGTGTACACAGCTCACACCACGATCTGTGTAAACGGTGGACCCACACGCGCAAGACACGGTTGAAGACGCGAACTGTGTACACAGATCACACCTTTCTCCGTGCATTTCGGAAAGGTAACCGTTCGCCACCTCGACCGTACAGTTTGATACGAATGCGGGCGCGCGGCCCCATCACTTGCTCCTCCTCCTCCTCCTCCTCCTCCTCCTCCTCCTCCTCCGCCTCCTCCTCCTCCTCCTCCTCCTCCTCCTCCTCCTCCTCCTCCTCCTCCTCCTCCTCCTCCTCCTCCTCCTCCTCATGTTTGCCGTGGACATCGCGGAGCGTCCTGCTTGCCCTGCGTGGACCAAGACTTCGCGGACGCCCTCTTGAAGCACCAGAAGCACGTGTTGCGCACCTGAGGTGCACCGCCGCTGCCGCAGAACCAGCACGACAAGGCGCCCGACGCCACATCCGTCCACCTGCCTCCTCCCCTTCTGAACATAGGAACAGAAGAAGAGGAGGAGGAGGAGGAGGAGAAGTTTTAACACGCGTGCTTTGGCGTGAAGAGGAGGAGGAGGAGGAGGAGGAGGAGGAGGAGGAGGAGGAGGAGCAGGATCGTTTCCGACGATTTCCAAGCACGCGGAGAGGCTTTCGAGCGCCTCTGGGGGGCTCGGGGGGGAACTTGGAGGAGACTGACGGCGAGGAGAGAGAGCAAGCAAGAGTGGTAGGATGAGGAGACCGACGACGGTGGCGACGACCGACGAGGGACGGCCAGGAGGCGGAGGATAAGGAGGAGGAGGAGGAGAAAGACGACGACGATCTTCAGAGAGGAGGGAGCGCAGAGAGAGGTGGGCCGGCTCACCATACGGTCGACCCCTGACGAGCTGCATCTAAATGACCGAAAGTCGAGTCGAACGAAAGGGAGAGTCACGAAAGGCGTCGGGTCAGAACATCACCTCGCGCAGCTAGGGGGTTCCCAGCGCCTCCCGGCGCTGGAGGCGCTGATGTGTCGGGAGGGGCGCCCGTCGGCGGGGCCGAGAGCAGCTGCCCGCACCAGAGCTCGCACCCTCCTTCCCTCGTGCAGCCGGAAATCTGATCAAGGATGTTGCCAGTTCAGAAACCCGAACCAACTGCCTAGAAGCTTCTTCAAGCAAGCATGGGCAAAGTTCGGTTGTCAACGGTGGAGGGGGCCAACGTGGTCAAGAAACTGGGCCAGCTTTCCGTCAGATTGGTTGAGGAACGCTGGCCTCGACTGCATCCCCCTTCCGCACGACCCGAGTAAGGGGGGCTACGTGACTAGCCCTGGAGACGCGTTATGCCACGGCCCACGAAGGGATCCCCACAGGCCCACCGGTGGTCCTGGGGATCTGGCGGCCGTGGTATGCAGGGTGGGCAGGGGGGATCTGGCGGCCGTGGCTTGCAGGGTGGGGATCTGGCGGCCCTGGTATGCAGGGTGGGCAGCCCCAACCTGTCGGATGAAGAGAACGATGTGATGGTCAACGGATTTCGGCCCCGAAGTGGAGAACCCGAACTTGCCCCACGAGCACTCTTGTGCCAAGATCACCGCCCAGACTGCGAAGAAACCCCGCAATAGGCCCCCCCAAAGATGCCCCCAAGAGGCCCCAAAGAGGCCTCGCAGAGGCCCCAAAGCGGCCCTCAAAGAGGACCCCCAAAGGCATCCCAAGAAACTCCAGGGAGGTATCCAATAATACTGCCCCACAATGTGCCGAAGGCCACGGTATGTTGTTGATTTTACTATGGAAACACCTTTTCGCTGGTGTGACACCACACAGGATGCCATCAGGTGGCAACCAGGTTTCTGATCTGATGCGTATCCAATATTCCTCCTCCTCCTCCTCCTCCTCCTCCTCCTGTTCTTCTTCCTCCTCCGCCTGCTGCTCCTCCTCCTCCTCCTCCTCCTCCTCCTCCTCCCCCGCCTCCTACCCCACCTCATACCCGTCCTCGTGTTCTGTCACAATCTTCTCTTCCCCCTCCTTCAAGATCGGCGTGTGGACCTCTCATGGAGCACGTCATGTCCCGGATTTCGCGGAGAAGCCTGCCGACGGGACAACGGCGTCTTTGTAGGACTCCTACTGAAGGAACAAATACGCTCTAGACTCACCCTGTCCTCCCCCTCCTCCTCATCGACCATCTCCCCTATGATCTTCCTCTTCCTCTTCCCGCCTTCCCCTCCTCCTGCAAATCGCCCTCCAACTCCTATCCTGCCCATCGTCCTCTGCTCATAGTGTTCCTCCTCCTCCTCCTCCTCCGTTTCCCCCTCCTCGCCATCGTCCTCAACCTCCTCCTCCTCCTCCTCCTCCGCCCTCTTCTCGTCCTCCTCCTCCTCCTCCTCCTCTTCCCACCCCGCCCCACCTTTGACCTACAACTATTCCTCCACCGAGCGTGCTCACCTCTCGCTCTCCTCCCTGGGGGAAGGAGGAGGACAAGGAGGAGGAAGGCGGAAGAACGGGGGAGTGAGGTAGAGGAGGTCCGCCGTTCCCTGGGGGGACAGGAGGAGGAAGAGGAGAAGGAGGAGGAGTAGGAGGAGGAGGAGGAGGAAAATGCGGAGAAGGAGGAGGAGGAGTGACAGTACTCGGGGGGGCGACGCGTGTCTCCGAGACGCACGGCCCAACCGAGGTAAGTTGGCGGCTGCCATAGCGGCACGGGAGAAAAGTAGCGCCAAAGGAGGGCACGGGCCGCGCCGATCGCGGATGCTGTGGCATCAGGCGTCGGGTGGGCAGCCTGCTTTCGTTCTCCTGTGAAGGTGGGAAGCGAGCGAGACCCGATGGACTGTACGAAACGAGGAGAGATGACTCTCTCGCTCGTGAGGGTATGCGGCCGCCGGGCCCGGTGCCCACGAGCCAGGGGACCAGAAGAAGCTCGCGAGGACGGAGCAGGGAAAGTAGCAGGGGAGCGAATCTGGTGCTTCGGCACATCCGAAGGCGCATCTGCGCTGCAAAAGAGCGCGCATATGCGGTGGAACATGGCCCACCCACCGCTGAAAGTCTTGAGAGCAGCCCACCTCCAGCTCGGGCGCACTTCCTTCAGCAGCTTTGTGGGAGCCTGCCAGCGCGCAGTGAGCTCGGCTGGCGGCGGCGTCGATGGCATGCCGCAAGCTAGGATTTTTTGTAGGGTGACCGTAAAACGTGAGTGGGATGTGAAGCCGCGCAGCGAAGCAACGACCACCCTCTGTACTGGGTTTCCTGGGCGGGACGGCTGCTCGTGCGTGCAGAACTCTTGCTTTGCAGCGCTAATCACTGACGCTGCGCTGCGCGCGCGGAACTGGCCAGCAGCCTGGCCTCGCAACAGGAGTGTGATAGTACTGCACAGTGGCGCGCGGCCCTTCCCGATGCGGACGGCGCCAGAGGCCGTCGATCCATCGATGGCGCAAGTGCACTGCACAGTCCTCCCGCGCTGCGTCGCGGAGGCAGCCCAGAAATGAGAGTGCGAAGGGCAGAGCGAATGACAGCATCTGCGGCGGTGGCGGCCTCTCTGCGCTGGGCAGTCCCTTCAGGGGTTGGAGAGAACCAATGTAACATTCCCATCCCCCACGACCACCTGTCTGGGGACGGTGAGATACCGTTGGAGGAAAAAACATCGCATCAAGAGTTGGGGTGCCACTTCGAATAAATCCCCCCGCGCCCACCTGGCCTCATCAATATTGAGCATTTGGTCCCGCAGATGCGCGGCCGGAAAATGTCTGAACCCAAGATCTCGATCGCGACGCATTCCAATATTAAGGCCGGGGGGTGGAGGGGGGGATTCGGTTCTTTGTCGTCGGAGCGTTGTTGATGCAAAGGCTTTCCTTCAACCGTACCTCGCCTGCCTCCTACAACGGAACAGAGAAAACGTCGGATGCCGCTGCCATCCTGCGAGCGACGGCCGTCAATCCCTCTGGTGTCCTGGTTCCGCCCTCCTCAGACAATTCCTACGAGGGGACGATCTGACTCGCTAGAGGATCAAGTCTGGAAGGAGGGCGGAAGTCCACCGGGGGCATCTTGGCGCGCAGCATGGCACCGCCCAAAGAAGGAGGCAGGAGTAAGGAAAAGAGGCCCAGGAGTTGGTGGTCAATCGCCGCTCCAGCAGGCACGGGAGAGCCTCGGGACGGGGGCGATGAAAGGCACAACAAAGGGAAACAGCCGTGGAATGTGGGCAGGGGGTCAGGGCCCGCAGCAGCGGGCAAGTCGCTGCACCCTCAGGCGAAGGGGTGCACGGCGGAGGTGGAAGAGAGGCAGCAGCGGAAGCGAGCGCTGCGCGCAACGGCGTGGTTCAGCCGTTCCTACGGGCCCCTCCTGGGTTCCACGGAGCTCCACTGGCCCTCTCCTGCCCGCATGATCTTCATCCCCGTGCACGACGAGGGGACAAGACTATTGCTTGTTTGAGGCATGCGAACAGCGCCCGGAGCACGAGTGCCGGCCTGTGCGCGTTCCTGGACCTCGAAGACAGGGAGCGAGACGCTCGTCCCCAGGGTGTGGGCCGCACGCAGGAAGGCCCGCACGACAGCCACTCCACCTCAGGCGGGCTGGCGAATGAGCGGGAAGGTGGCCTGCAGCAGGAGACCGCGAGGGCCGAGCAGGTCCATAAGGAGGGCGAGGAAGGCCAGCTGGTGCGGACGAGCACCTCGAAGTGGGGGGACGGATGGGGACGGGCAGACCATCCCGAAGGAGTACGTGGACCACACGCTGAAGAAGAAGAAGCCTGCCAAAGGCACGGCGCAGGCCAAGCAGAAGGACTAACATGACACCATGAACAAGATGAAGGCAGAGTGCGAGCAGCGCCTCATGGAGCCCTGGCTAGTGCCGAACCGCACCTCGGCGTCAGTGGACGAGTTCCAAATTCAGGAGAGTACCCCAAGCAAATCCAGTCACGCCATTGGCCTCGACCTCGAGGACGAGGATAGCTTCCAGAAGGAGTTCCAGCTGAAGTGATCCCACGCATCGAAATCAGGGAACGAGATGATCATGTTGAAGGAGCACGTGGAAAACATGGCGAAGGAGCAGACCCATATCTGCCAATCTACCACACCACTGACGAGGGCATCCCTGCATGGTCCAGGGGGCCGATCCCGGAGACGCTGGCCATGTGGGGGTCGGAGTATCTGCACTCGGCGGCAAGCCTGGGGGGACGTGAGATGGGGCGGGCCTTCTGAGAGGCCTCGGAAGTTCCCTGGCCTTCTGAGCAGTGTTCTCAGGTTTCCCCGAAGACACGGGCAACCTCTCAGGAGGCGCGAGGGCTTCTCGGAAGCCCGTCGCCTGCTGAGAAGGCATTCCTCTTTCTCACTTCCCCCCCCCTCGCTCGCCGCCGGCGTGCATATCGCCGACCCGCTGGGCCAGCAACGCCGTTCCGCAGCTCCACGAATAGCGACGGCAAGAAAGCTCCGGGCGGCCGCTGGCCGATCTGCTGGCGCCGAGGCGCGCGGCCAACCCCCCAGTTGCCGGAGGCGGGGCCCTCCGCTATAATGCCGCATGCCCGTCCTCTTGTGAAGGGGATTCGCGCGGGGAGGCATGATGGGACGCACAAGGACATGCTAGTACTAGACGTCCTCGTCGGAGGCGTGCGTCCGACCCGAAGATACAGTATACCAGTATTGTAATAGATCGTCTCCCGAGCGATGTGGTCAGAAACGCCCGCCACGACGCATATTCTATGAGACTTCTCGGTGCTCGCGTCGCCCCTGGGGGGCGACGCACATCCAGTATCAGTATGTTTGGGTGGCGCCGACATGAGGCGCCGCACCACCGGACTGCGAGCTACAGCCAACCCGTGTAGAGAGGACGCACGAGAAGGATGCAGGGGCCTCGGAGGGCCATGCCGACACTCTGCGAGCGGGGCGCGGCCAGCGAAAAAGCGGCCAAGGATGGGCCGACGGGGGTGGATGCAAGGGTAACCATGGAACGTCGTTCATCCTTGCTATGCTGAAGGGAAACTGGGACACACAAATAAATACACACAAATAAAAAGATTCCCCATATTTTCCCATATTTTCTGGGTTTTTGTCTTCCCCACCACTGCCCATATTTTCCCATATTTTCTGGGGAATCGACGATTAATTGTGTCTGTGTGTTTTTTCTCCTCCTGAAAAAAGGACTCACGCCGGGGCGCCGCCGCCCCCCTGGACTGCGGGCTGACTGGGCATGCTACGCAAAGACCCCTTAGCCCACAGTCCTGGCGGGGAGTACCGGTGTGGGTGAGTGCGGGCCTCGTGCCTGAACTGTCGAATTGGTCCAGCCGGAGCAACGAACCGCGACATAACTGGCGTGCTGGCAGTGGCCCTTTGGCGAGCCGTCCTAGCAGATACCTGGAGCTTGCCTGACTGATGTGGCACGGCCGATGCCAGAACTCCCCTCGTACCTGTCGGACCGGCCCAACTGAAACAACGGACCACGGGCTAGCTGGGAATGCTATGCAGAGGCCCTCAGCCCGTAGTCCTGGCAGGAAGTGCTGGTGATGAGAGGAGGGGGGAAGATGGAGAAGGAGGTAGGCAGGAGGAGGGGGATGAGGGAGGAGAGGAAGAGAAGATCTCGAGGCCCGCCGCGGCGCTGAGGGCGAGGCGTCCGACAGCACCGCGGGCCGGAACGCCCGCATCTCGACGACGGCACGCTCAGCAAGTGCCGCGAAGAGGTCGGCGTTGGAGGCGCCCACCTCTTGCCACGAGCCCAAATCGCTGTCGTTTAGAAGGTGGTACAGTAGGCACGTAAAATAGCGGGTGCACCAGGGACATGTCTGAACCCCTGGTGGCTCTCGGGGCCCACAGAAGCATGCCCTGGGGCAACTTAGGATCCACAAGAATCGACGAAGAATGTGCCCCAAGATGTCTTGCATGAAGGTTTCTTATCGTACGTATCTGCTGCAGGGCATCTGTGGGGACTATCGTCGCCGCGGCTGGACGCAGCTCGGAGGACCTGCCGAGGTGAACACCCAGAGGGGACTGCGAACCAACATTGACCAGACTGCGTTCGGTGCACGATCCTCTTGCCTCCTCCTCTTCCTCCTCCTCCTGCCGCACCCAGTTCCTCCTCCTCCTCCTCCAGCTTTCCCTCCTCCTCGATCCTCCTCCTCCTCCTCCTCCACCTCCTCCTTCTCCTCCTCCACCTCTTCCTCCTCCTCCTCCACCTCCTGCACCTCCTCCTGCTGCTGCTGCTGCTGCTCCTCCTCCTCCTCCTCCTCCTCCTCCTCTCCTCCTCCTCCCCCTCCTCCCTCCTCCTCCTCCTCCTCCTCCTCCTCCTCCTCCTCCTCCTCCTTCCTCCTCCTTCTCCCTCCTCCTCCTCCTCCTCCTCCTCCTCCGCCTCCTCTTGTCCTCCTCCTTGTCCTCCTCCCCCTCCTCCTCCTCCTCCTCCTCCTCCTCCTCCTCCTCCTCCTCCTCCTCCTCCTCCCTCCTCCTCCTCCTCCTCCTCCTCCTCCTCCTCCTCTCTCACTCCTCCTCCCCTCCTCCTCCACGTGCCCCTCCTCCTCCTCCTCCTCCTCCTCCTCCTCCTCCTCCTCCACCTCCCCCTCCTCCTCCACCTCCTCCTCGTTCTCCTCCTCCCTCTCACCTCATCCTGCCTCCGCCGTACACCTCCTCCACCTCCTCCTCCTCCTCCTCCTCCTCCTCCTCCTCTTCGGCCTCCTCCTCCTTCTCCGATTCCTTCTCCTCCTCCACCTCCTCCACCTCCTCATGCTCCTCCTCTTCCCCATCCTCCTTTTCCTCCTCCTCCTCAGCATCATCATCAGCATCATCCTCATCAGCATCATCATCCTCATCCTCATCCTCAGCATCATCAGTATCATCAGCATCATCATCAACATCAGCAACAGTATCATCATCATCATCATCATCATCATCATCATCATCATCATCATCATCATCATCATCAGCATCATCATCATCATCATCATCATCATCACCTATCCATCATCATCATCGTCATCAGCATCAGCATCATCATCATCAGCATCGTCAACATCACCTTCAACATCATCATCATCATCAGCATCATCATCATCATCATCATCATCAGCAGCAGCATCATCATCACCATCATCAGCATCATCCTGTGTGTTCCTCCTCCTCCTCCTGCTCCTCTCCCTCCTCCTCCTCCTTTTCCATTTCTTCTCTGATCGATAATTGTTCCCTGTCGCACCCCGAAGCAAGTGTTTAGGGCGGGCCGGGCCTTTCGCCTGGGACGTCCTCACTATGTATGGTTCTGGAACTGGAAATTAGCAACAGCTCCACAGATGGAGGGCGGGTGGTTTTCAACATGTGGCTCTCGCCTTAGCGCCGCGCGCATTCGTTCTGAGAAATGGAAAGAGCTTGAAGGATTGAGGATCACCCGTTTGCAACATGTGGCTCTCGCCTTAGCCCCGCGCACAGATGGTTGTAAACATTTGCAAGAACTTCACTGGTTGAAGCTCACCCGTGTTCAACATGTGGCTCTCCCCTTCGCGCAGCGCAGATTCGTCCTCGAAAATTGCAAGCGTGTCACGGATTGAGGGCGGCTCCTTAGCGCCGCGCACAATCGCTTGTAAAATTTGCCGGAGGTTCACGTATTCCAACGATCAACGTACAAGAAATGGTGTTTGGGAAGGGTTCAGGATTTTCCGGTGCAGCAGTTACGCTGGTTCGCGGTGTTGAAATCCCAAGAATGGCGTTTTGGCGCGATCCAGGATTGTCAATACGCAACACTCAGGTTGATCCGTTGCGTTGGAATCCCGAGAACAATATTTTGGCATGCCTCCGGGTCTTCAAACGGTTGTCTTCCAACGAGGCCGATCCTTCAATGGAAATGAACCGTTGTAGTAGGGGCCTATGAAGAGGGAGCTTGGAGGGAGGGTATATTCCAACATCGTTGATGGCTCTTGGGTTTACACTGGTCCTCCTGTTCCTCCTCCTCCTCTTCCTCCTCCTCCTCCTCCTCGTCCTCCTCCTCCTCCTCCTGTTCCTGTTCCTGTTCCTATTCCTCCTTCTCCTCCCCCTCCTCATCCCCCTCCTCCTCCTCCTCCTCCTCCTCCTCCTCCTCCTCCTCCTCCTCCTCCTCCTCCTCCTCCTCCTCCTCCTCCTCCCCCCCCCCTTTTTCCCAGCAGCCGCTGAGCGCGGTTCCCGCTCCACTGCGCCGCCACCCCACGCGCGGACGCGGGGCCCATGCCGCGGCGGCACCGCCGGTAGGTTCCGAAGGGGGGGCGAGAAGCTCCTCGGTCCTGAGGCCCCCGCTCAACCGCAGCTAATGTGTTTGCCGTCAACGCAGTAACTAGGCGGCAACATGATATAAGGAACACCTTGTTTGTAAGGCTGCAGTCGTGGTACGTATACGTAATACCCGTGTCCGTAGCGCTGAAGAGCAGGTACTGCTGTCATGAAAAAATGCAGTCTGCTGAAGTACCGGAATTAGCGGCTTCTGGTAGGCTGGCCCCGCTGGCCTGCAGAGACTGTGAGGTCGCATCTACAGTCGAACACGTTGTCATGGTGATACTGGTAGGCTGGAGCCGTCTCTTGGTGCATGACGGCGAGCCGCTTGTTGGGGTACTTCTCGGCGGGCTCAGCGTTGGCATTCTGAACGCTGATAGCCCTCGATCCCGATCTGAACGCCCAGCGCTCTGTGGTGGAACCTAACGCGTCCGGAGTACACTCGAGGCCATTGGGGCAGTTCTGGCCTTGATCCAATCATTCTGGCTGGCAGCCTTTGTTGTAGTCCTGCGTGCTCATCCAGCTAGTTATGCCGGTGGCTCTCGTAGCTCAAGTGGTTGCCCTCGTCGCTACTCTGGTGGTCCTCGTAGCTCCGCCGTTGGCCCTGCTCGCGGCGGTCGTTGCTCAGCTAATTGGCCCGGTCGCTCGGCAGGTGGTCCTCGTAGCTGCGCCGGTAAAGCCTGGCCCTCGCTGCTCCGCAGGTGGCCATTGTAGCTGAGCTGGTGGCTCTCGGAGTTATTCTCCTGGTCCTTGCAATTCAGCCCGTCGCCCTAATAGCTTTGCAGGGACTTTGGTAGATCTTCCTGTAGTCCACGTAGTTCTGGTTGTGACCCTCGCATCTCAGCTGGTAGCTCTCGTAGCTCACGTAGCTGTACCCATGGTCTTCGTAGCTCAGCTCGCAGTCCTCGTGCTCCCGCAGATGTGCCTCTGGGCCTCGTAGCTCAGGTCGTGGTCCTCGAAGGGCCGCTGGTGGCCCTGGTCTCTTCAGGTGGCTGTAGTAGCTGTGCCTGTGGTCCTCGTAGCTGAGCTTGTGGGCCTAGAAGGTCCGCTGGTGGCCCTGGTAGCTCTGCCCGCGGCCGCAGTAGCTCTGTTTGCTGTCATCGTAGCACAGCTGGTGCCTCCTGTAGCTCAGCTGGTGGTCCTCGTAGCTCTGTTAATGGCCCTTGTAGCGCAGCACCTGTCCCTCGTGATTCAGCTGGTGGGCCTAGCCCTGCCTGTGGCTTTCGTAGCTCAGCTCGCAGTTCTCGTGGCTCAGCTTGTGGCACTTGTGCCGCTGCTGGTGGCTCTCGTAGCGGCAGAAGGGCCTTGAAGCCCCTCTGGTGGTGTTCATAGCCGCGCCTGGGGTCCTCATAGCTCAGCCTTTGGTCCTCGAAGGGCCGCTGGTGGCACTGGTAGCTCTGCTAGTGGCTGTAATAGCTATGCTCCTTGCCCTCGAAGCTCAGGTTGCGCCCTCGTAGCTTTCCAAATGGACCTCGTGGCTCGGCCGGTGGTTCTCGAAGCTCTGCTCGTGCCCTTATCGCCTTCCTGGTGGCTCCTGTAGCTTACCTGGTAGTTCGCGTAGCTCTGCTGGTGGCCCTCTAATCTGAGCTGGTGACGCTCGTGGCTCAGCTGGTGGGTCTCGTAGCCCTGCTTGTGGCTCTCGTAGCTCAGTTCGCGGTCCTCGTAGCTCAGCTTGCGGCTCTCGTGGCTCTGCTGGTGACTCTCGTAGCTTGGCAGGTAGGTCTTGAAGCGATTATGGTGGCTCTCGTAGCTGCGCGTGTAGTCCTCGTGGTTCAATTGGTGGTTTCCGAAGCTCGTCTGGTGGCTCTGGTATCTCTACCAGTGGCTGTAGTAGCACGGGTTGAGGCACCTCAGAAGGCACGCTCTCTCCAGAATCCCCGAGGTCCAAATCGGAGCCGTCGGCTGCCATGCCGCGGTGTTCCACTTTCTGGGCGTAACTGTAACCTTCGCAGCTGTCGTAGCTCCGCGGCCCATCGAAATCTTAGACGCTGGAATAGTCCTGGGGGGTCGTAGAAGTACAGGTTACTGTCAAAAAAGATGTCGTAGTCGTACTTGTCGTAAGCGGCACGGCCGTGGTCGCACTCGTCGTAGGCGGCCCGGCCGTTGCCCACCGGCACTTCCACGACGACGTACTTGGTAAGCACTTCGGGCTGCGCGGTCGTGTCGTTTCTGGTGTCGGCTTTGGCGCGTTCTCGTCCTTGGGCTGCACGTTCCGCAGCTCGTTCTCGCACTTGGGCTGCCAGTCGCGCAGCTCGTTCTCGCACTTTGGCTTCAAGTTACGCAGCTCGTGCTTGGACGCTCTCGCAACTGCGGTCGCAGCAATGATAATGATGTCGTCGAGTCGAGGCCGTATTCCATGCCAGACGCTGTCCTCCACTCGTTGTTGGGCGACGTCTGGCCGCACCCATGTTCCTCCGTGCGTGTATGATCTCGGCATCCTCGCCGATACGTCTCAGAGACCTGTGGTTCACAAATGGTGGTTGATCTTGCAGTCGCGGAAAATCTCCTTCTCGCGGATGCTTACCGACTGCTGGATGACGCGGTAGCCGCAGCTGGTCACCCACACGTGGGCAAAGTTATACACCCGACACTTGCTGAGATGCGTCGGCGTGGTACGCGCGCAGCCGATCCCGATCACAGCCGCGCGCTGAGCCCCCCCCCCCTGGAAACCGTCGCGGCGGCGCGGGGGCCCAGGGCCAGTGGTCTGCCTCCACCTCCTCCTCCTGCTCCTGCTGTTCCTCCTCCTTTTCTTCCTCCTCCACCTGCTTCTCACTCTTCTCCGCCTCCTCCTCCTCCTTGTCCTTCTCCTCCTCCTCCTAGTCCTCCTCCTCCTCCTCCTCCTCCTCATCATCACCCTTCTCCTGCTCCTCCTCCTCTCCTCCTCCTCCTCCTCCTCCTCCTCCTCCTCCTTGTCATGTCTCTCTCTCTCTCTCGTTCTCTCTCCCTCTCTCTCTCTCTCGTCCTCGTTTTCGTTCTCGTTTGTTTCGTTCTCTCTCTCTCTCTCTTTCTATTCCCTACTCTTCTTTTCTCTTCTCCACCTCCTGCATCCTCCATTCCCTGCCTCCCACCACCACCACCACCACCACCACCTCCTCCTCCTCGTCATTATCATCATCATCAGCAGCAGCAGCATCATCATTATCAGCATCCGCATCCGCATCAGCATCAGCATCAGCATCAGCATCAGCATCATCAGCATCATCAGCATCATCATCAGCATCATCATCAGCATCAGCATCAGCATCAGCATCAGCATCAGCATCAGCATCAGCATCATCATCATCATCATCATCATCATCATCAACATCATCATCATCATCATCATCATCATCATCATCATCATCATCATCATCATCATCATCATCATCATCATCATAACCAGCATCATCAGCATCATCATCATCCCCCTTCTACTACTACTCATACTCCCCCCTCCTACTCCTACTCCTACTCCTACTCCTACTCATACTCCTGCCTCCCTCCTCCTCTTTTCTCCCCACCAAATTACCACAACGTGTCTGTCAGGATATCCCAGAGGTGGCCTTTTCCGCTTCCTCCGAGTATCCCAAGGATGCTCCTCTCCGTCCTCCTTCCTCCTCCTCCTCCTCCTCCCTCCCTCCCTCCCTCCCTCCCTCCCTCCCTCCCCTCCCTTCCTCCATCCCTCCCGCCTTTCCTTGGGCCAAGCTCCAGCGTGGACGAGAGGAGGACCAAGGGGGGTCGGTAGCAAGCTAGGGTCTTTGGATATCTATATATCTATACATATATATATATATATATATATATATATATCGAGGGTGTTGCCGATCAGTGGCGGAGCCGAAACTGGCGTGGTGGCAAGCGAGGGGGGGAAGTGAGAAGGAGAAAGCCTTCTCAGGAGGCTCGGAAGTCCCCTCGGCCTTCTGAAAAGTGTTCTAAGCCTTCCCCAGAGGCACACAAAACCTCTCGGAAGGCGCGAGGGCTTCTGAGAAGTCCCGCCGCCTTCTGAGAAGGCCTGCTTTTCCTTCTCACTTCCCCCCTCGCTCGCCGCCGACTTGCTGCATGCGGTAGATGTCGCAATCCACCTTTTAATTATCACCCCCTTTACTTCCGCCCTTCCCAACAGTGGGGGCTCCGGAGGAAGCTGGTTCTGGATACCTTGGGGTTCAAATCCCCGAGATCCGGCGTTGCAGAAAAATGGCAACATCGCAAAAAATCACCACCGGAGCCCCAGACTCCATCTTTCTGCTTCATTTTGCGAGCCGGATCGATCAGTGAGGGTCCCGGGGCCCGAAATGGAGCGAAAGCGTCCGTTGTGAACAAATTGCTAAGCCAGGATCTCAGGGATGCGCGCGCATTTCATCCCGAGCTGGCTCTGGACGGTTCCAGTTGCGCCCCGATAGGAATGGCCCCGGGAGGGGGAGCCCGACGAGAAGACCCAGGGCCCCTGCCCCTCGGGAGCCGTGCCCTGGACCTCCACCTTCCGCACCTTCCGGACGGCAGATGCCGCGCAGCGCCTGTCGTCAGAGCGGCCACGGTCGAGGCCGCCGTCGAGGCTGCGGCGGCGGCCTCGGCGGTGTCCGCGGCCGATCCACCGCGGCAGCTGCTACGCGGAAGGATCGGAAGGTGGAGGTCAAGGGTGTGGCTCGCGGCGAACCTCGGTGAACGCCCAGAGCAGGCTGCACAAGTTCCCGGCGTCGTTGTCCAGCTCGAGGTCGTTGATTCGAGGAGTCACGGCCGCCGCGATGGCGTCGAACACGTCCTGGTCGTAGACGCGAGCGACTGCCAGCGAGCAGGCAATGTGGGCAAGCTCGTCGGCCTTGAACTCGCCCGCTCTGGGAGAGACCACCTGCCGCGCGAGGTTCCGCAGCATGTCCGTCTGCGGCGGGTCCACCCACGCCAGGTCCCACATCATGGCCCTGACCTCGCCGGTGGGGAACTGCCCCGGGCTGCCCTCCATGGCGCTCAGGAGCGCCTCCGAGCTGTCCACGCCCTTGCAGTCCTTCCAGGACGAAGAGAGGACAAGGATAGAATCGGGTCAGCATAAATCGAGAATTTCTGAGAGCCGCTGGCTCTGGCGGATGTCTCGGGAGCCGCGGCCTTCTCAGAGCGTTCCGGAACGCTCTGGGAGCGTTCGGGAATGCTCTGGAACTGATTCCTCCTCGTCCTAGCCCCGTCCGCGTCCTTCCCCACCAGGTAACGCTGGACCGTCACCGGCAGGTCCGAGTCGTCGTTCGTCTCCGCAAAGGAGCCCGCCACAGGGTATACCTCGTGCGCCTTGGGATCCTTCAAATCGACACCATACTTCTCCAGGAGGCTGGCCTCCATCTCGAGGGCCCAGAAGACCTAAGCTGCCCCGATGCGCAACAGGCAACACGTAGCTTGTTGATACGCAGCTCAGCACGTAGACTGAAAACATAGGTCCGACGCAACAGTTCGCCAAAACGTGGGCTAGCACGTGGAACTAACACGCGGCGTGCCAACACGGACGCTTCGAACACGGCACGTGCTGCTTTCCAACACACGCGCATCAGGGCAGCTTAAGCAGAATACCCTCTGCTCGGAGAGCGACGCGATGGCAATGTGACTCGCCGTGGCGAGCGGGTCGTCTTTGTGCAGGAGAGCCACGCCGCCGTTGGCGACCCTGAAGCTGCACGGGTTCCCCCCGGGCCGTAGGCGACCCGAGGAGGAGGAGGAGGAGGAGGAGGAGGAGGATGAAGGAGGAGGAGGAGGAGGAGGAGGAGGAGGAGGAGGAGATGGAGGAGGAGGAGGGGGAGGAGGAGCTAGGAGGAGGAGGAGGAAGAGGAGGAGGAGGAGAGAGAGAAGGAGGAGGAGGAGGAGGAGGGAGGAGGGGAAGGGAGGAGGAGGAAGAGGAGGAGGAGGAGGGAGGAGGAGGAGGAGGAGGCGGAGGTGGAGGAGGAGGAGGAGGAGGAGATGGAGGAGGAGGAGGAGGAGGAGGAGGAGGAGGAGGAGGAGGAGGAAGAGGAGGAGGAGGAGGAGGAGGAGATGGAGGAGAAGGGGTCGCCCAAGCCCTTCGGAGAAACCCTCCGCCTGAAGCTCCTCAGCGGCCTCGGCCTCCCGCCGCCCCTGCCGGCTGCGCCGCCCTTGCCGCTGCCCTTGCCGCCGCCCTTGCCGCCGCCCTCCGCGGCCTGCGCCGCCCCCTTGCCGCCGCCCTTGCCGCCGCCCTCCCCGTCCTCGGGCGCCGCCTCGGCCAGCAGCTCCGGGAACGCCCACGCGAGCAGCACGCACAGGGACCTCCGGCCGCACGCGAGGAGTGACCCTCGGACCCCTGGTGCGCGGCTTCTCTTTGGGGCCGCGGTGGGCCAAACCCCAAGAGCGCGAGAGAGACGCCACTGCCGCATCGAGAGATCGGCGATCGGGGGACTCCAGTGGGCCCGCACCAAGGGTCACTCCGGCGAAGGGCCACTCTGACTTGTAAGCCGAGACCTGCGCTCACGGGAGCTCTGGTGCCTGCCGCTGGCCACGGTGCTGAGCTCCCCGTTGCGCTGCAGCTGCTCCGACGCCAGCAGCACGCGCTCCCGGACGGCCCGCAGGCAGTCGGGGTGCTCGGTGGCCTGCAGCGCGTCGAGGCGGGCCCCGAGGTCCGCCCCGTGCTTCACGCGGCCCCCCCGCAGCAGCTCCCTCTCCTGGGGAGTCCTCCTCCTCCTCCTCCTCCTATCCTACTCCTCCTCCTCCTTCTGCTCCTCCTCCTCCTCCCCCTCCTCCCCCTCCGGCTCCTCCTCCTCCTCCTCCTCCTCCTCCTCCTCCTCCTCCTCGTCCTCCTTCTCCTCCTTCTCCCCTTCGTCCTCCTCCTCCTCCTCCTCCTCCTCCTCTTCCTCCTCCTCCTCCTCCTCCTCATCATCCTCCTCCTCCTTCCCCCCTCCAACTTATGGTGGTGCTGGTGGGAAACAAGCTCATCACCCTGGACCTTGCCGGGGGCGCGTTCTCACCAGGGTCTCGAGGCGAGTCCAGCCGTGGCGACGAGGGAGGGGCCTAGGCAGATAGGGTCGCCGGTATACGTAATCATCTCTTCCGCCCCAGGGTCTCCTCCATCAGCGCGGCCAGGTCGCACGCGTCGCGCGCGAAGCTGTCCGAGACGCGCATGGCCTGCAGGATCGCGTGCCCGAGCCGCGGGTGCACGGGAAAGCGGGCCATGCCGCGCCCCCGCTCGGTCAGGGCCCATCCACCGTCCGGCTGCCGCTCGAGCCCCTGCATGCGTGCCAGGATCTCCCTCCCCACGTCGAGACTCGCCACGGTCGGCGCGTCCACCCACGGCATCGCGGCGATCTCGCCGTTCGACAGGTAGCCCCCGATGGCCAGCTCCAGCACGCACGAGGTCAAATCTGCCCTGTGGATTTCGGGGGTGTCGTTCATCTCCAGTGCCCGGTGGTGCTGCTCGCTCCAGAGGCGGTAGCAGACGCCCTCGCTCACGCGCCCGGCGCGCCCCTTGCGCTGGTCGGCGGAGGCGACCGACACCGGCACCGTCACCATCCTTCGGTCGGGCATGTCCTCCTACAGGCGGCTTTTGGAAGAAAAGTGGCAAGTAATCAAACAATAAACCAAACATGATCAAACATAATAGGAAAGATCGTTCCCTGACTATTTTTTGACTATTTTTGAACTTTCCTTCTTTAGAGGGACATGCCCGACTTAGCACCATCCTGTTCGTGCACGTGAGCGGGTCGTCCATCCTGACGCGCTTCAGGCCCGCGTCAACCACGATGCGGACATTCGGAACGGTGATGGAGGACTCCGCGATGGGCGTCGCCAGGATAACCTTGCGCCAGCCGGCGGGCGGCGGCGCTAGCGACTCGTCCTGTTCCGGCGAGGCTTGGGGCTGCGCACAGGGCAGCCCCGGCCGGTCTCAACAGGCTGTCAGGGTAGGCAGAGGGGGAACGATAGGGGTGGACCAGCTCAGCGGGGGGGGGAATATCGACATGGCATCGGCGATACATCAAGATCGGCGATTGGCCTCCGATCGCGAAACCGCATTTTCCTGGGCGGGGTCGGCTCTAAAGGCCCTATCGGCGATGAACAGGCGATTGGGAGTCGATGCGTCCCCCCCTGAGCATCGCGCCACCCAACGTTGCTCCTGATAATTAGTCTGGGGCGGCTTGAGCACTCTCCGGGACGGAGAGCGCCCCTGCAGGGACGCCGCTGGAGGTTTGGAGGCCGCCCCAGAAACCGCAATGAGGCGCTGCCAAGGGTGACCCTGGCCCAAAGTGGCCAGGGCCTCACAAAACTATTTGTTTTTGCGTTTGCGCGTGCATCATCTTCTTGCGGAGCTCGGCTCCCTGGCGCAGTAGGCCGAACGCTCCACGTCGCGGGACACTCTGCCGACGCGGCTCGCAGCCGCAGAAACCATCAGTGGAAGGCTGGCCGCGCCAGCGCGCCGGCCCAAACCTCACCCCCGGATGCGCAGAGATGGGGCCGAGCTCGTTCGCGGGCGCGGGGGTGCGGAGCACTCCTCGCCTCGTCGGGGCACGGGCCCCCCCCCCCCTCCCTCTCGCATCACGAGCACCCGGCGAGCCGGACGACCCCCCCGCCCCCTCGACCCCGGTCTCCCCACAGGCCTCCCCCCTTCGCGCGGGGGGAGGGCAGGCATGCAGCCTCCCCCCCGCCCTGGCGCCGGTCGTCGTCGTAGCCGTTTGTCGGCGCCGTGGGGGGGGTCCTCGTCGTCGTCGTCGTCGCTTGCTGGTGCCGAGGGGGGCAATCGCCATCGTCGTTTGCCAGGACCATCGGGGGATCAGCGTCGTCGCTTGCCGGCGACAGGGAGGAGGGGTCATCGTCGTGGCGACGACGACAATGACGACGACGACGAGGCCAATAAGAACGACCACGACGACGACGATCACTACCACCACCACCACCACCACCACCACTACCACCACCACCACCACCACCACCACCGCGGGAAGGACACTCGATCGGGCGGGCGGGCGGGACATGGGACAAAATATGATAAAAACGCACATACTCACAAGACGAGTAGAACATCTAACAATAATTGAAAACAAAGGCGACGATGAATATGAAGACGAAGAGGACGACGATGACAACCGCGGGCGGGGCATTCAGTCGGGCTGGCAGAACATTCAAATGCAACCCTGGCTGGTTGATGAGACATTGTTGGTTGCATTTAGTGTCCCGCCCGACCGCCAGATTGAACGTGTCCTGGTCGTCGTCGTCGTCGTCGAAGCCGCCGCCATCAACGTGGCCATCGCCATCGCCATCGCCATCGCAGTCGTCGTCGTCGTCGTCGTCGTCGTCGTCGTCGTCGTCGTCGTCGTCGTCGTCGTCGTCGTCGTCGTCGTCGTCGTCGTCGTCGTTGTCGTCGTCTGGGGGGGTTGAAAGCCCCACCCGTGCCGCACGCAAACGAGGACGACAACGACGACCAGCGCCAGGGCGAGGGGGGCGGTTGAACAACCCCCCACACTGGCGCCGGCAAACGACGACGACGACGACGACGACGACGACGACGACGACGACGACGACGACGACGACGACTGCGATGGCGATGACGGTGGCGACGGCGACGACGACGCCGACTGGCGCCAGGGGGTATTGGGGGGCGCGGGTGGCTGAACCCCGCCCCCCTCCCCCTGCGCGAGTGGGGAGGGGGTTGGACCCCCCCTTTGCGGGGGGGTGGTCCGTCCCCCCTGGCTGCCGACGCCTTCTTTGATGTTTGGAGGCCACAAGGTGGGGCGCGTGGCCGGTGCAAAACCCCCCCTCAGTCGAGCGACCACACGACAAGCTCTTTCTCAGAGGGCCTCCGGGCCGCTTCTTCGCGCGAGGTCCCGAGGGCACCCCTAAGCTCAGAGGCCTACCAGGTGAGGACCGAGTAGATGGTGTCGAAGGATCGCGTAGCATCGCCAATGCATCGCCGATGTATCGGCGATGCATCGGGGATGCATCGGCGACGTCGGCGATGCATCGAAGACGTCGGCGTGGGGAAGCACGGGCTCCACATCACCCGCATCGTCGATGCATCGGCGATGCAGCGCGACCCTCCGACCCCACACCTACCTGGACCCCATCCAGGAGGCCCGGAAAGCTGGCGCGCAGAGCTCTGCGCACCTGGGGCCGGGATCGCCCCCGGCACCCTCTGGAGGGCTGTTGCGGGCAGCTGGGACAACCGCCCGGGGGGGGGCTTTCAATGCCCAAACCCCCGACGTCATGATTTTTTCATGACGCAACCCCTGAAGGTCCGGACCCTTTCCCCGGGACCGGCTTTTCACCCTGAATCGTTTTTTGATGGTCCCGAGGGCCGGTGAGGGCCCCCAGGGTCAGAAAATAGCGAAAAACCTCCCGTCGTGATTGTTTCATGACTCGGGGGGGTCTGGGTGCGCAGCGCCACGCCCTTCCGTCCTGCTCTGCGTCGTCCATGGTGGCGTAGAGGGTGCAGACGGTGGTCTTCCTGCTGGGGTCGGGCGCGCTCTCGTCGATGAGCCGGCTCGCCCAGCCGACCATGGTGGAGGGCTTCTGCGGCAGGGGGCCGGGAGAGAGCGCGCGGCGAGGAGGATGAGGACGGTTGGGGGAGGATAGAGGAACAGGAAGCTGCATCAGCATAGACGCTCAGGGGTCCGCGCGGATCTCCAGGAGCGGCTCTGGACCCCCCTCCCTGGCGCGCGAAACGCGCTGGTGGCGGCGCCGGTCGTGCGTGGACCAAGAGCTTCCCCCAAAAAGAAACGGCACGAGAGACTTTTTAGCAGGGACCGACCATCCCCGTATTTCGAAGGGCCTACCACGAAATGCTCCTATAACCGACAAGCGTTCGAATAACAAAAATAAAAACAAGCCCGACGTATACATCGGGACAGTCTTGGCCAGAACAGGTTCTAAGAAGATTTCGCGCAAGAAGAACAGTATAATATTAGGTCGGGCATGTCCCCATACAGGTGGATTTTGGACGAAAACTTAAAATATTCAAAACATTTCAAGAAATACGCAAACATACTAAAACAAATCGTCCCCGTACTATTTGGTCTGTTTTTTTTTTTGAGTATCCCTCCTGTAGAGGGACAGGCCTGACTAAATCCTTTAGGCAAGCCAGAACGCTTCTTAGATTCACGGGCGAAGAGCGGTATAAGATAAACTGTTTCGCTGTCGGGGGCGAATGCCCCAGCGCGGCTGGAGAGTTTCTACCCTTACGGTGGCACGTCAAGGTATAACATTTCCATGGGAGGCACAAGGACATACTGATACTACATGTCCTCCTCGGAGGCGCGCGTCCGACCCGAACATATAGTATACCCATCTTGTAGTAGATCGTTTCCCGAGCGGTGTGGCCAGAAAGCGCCCGCCACGACGCATATACCATAAGATTTCTCGGTGCGTGCGCCGCCCCTGGGGGGGGGGGGGGGGGGCGACGCACATGTAGTATAAGTATGTTGGGGTGACGTCAACTCCAGCCACCCTGGGGCAGCGCCCCTTCGGTGACGGAAGAGTGTGTTTCACACACTGAGTAATTTCCAGTGCTTGAGAGGTGGGGGTCGCGCGACCAGGTGCCGCGTCTCTCGCGGACAGCGGAGAGAAGCTACCACGCCAACCCCACCTGCCGAGAGGCAGACTGTGAATCTCCTTGTTCACGTGGTGGGCGGATGGACGCGTGAGCGGCGGCCTCCCTGCTTTACACAACGAGCTGAGCACAAGGGGAGGAGGAGGAGGAAGGGAGGAGGAGAAGGATGAGAGGACGGGAGAAGGAAGGGAGAGAGGACGAGAAGGACGGAGAGGGAGAGAACTGGAGGAGGAGCAACTGGAGGAGCCACTGGAGGAGGACTGGCGGAGGAGAAGAGCGCGGAGGACGAGGGGGCAACTGGAGGAGGCGAGGAGAAAGGGAGGCGGAGGACGCTCAGAGAGCTCCCCCTGACAGGACCCCGGTCTCCACGGGCGACGAGCGCATCGACAGCCAGGCCGCCGAGGCCCGGACACCGAGGCGCGGCGCGAGCCCCCGGGGGATGCGCGGCGCGCCGCGCGCGCTCGCGCGCGCCAGGGCGCCCGCGCAGGGCCGCCCTGCACTCTCGCCCGGTCGCGGCCGAGGGGTCCAGACTGCGAGGCCGCGGGCGCGCTGCTTTTGAGGGGGCTCTGCCTCCGGGGAACGAAGTCTTCGCGGACACCTCTAGGAGGCAACTGCTGGGAGGTCTTCCTCGGAAGGGGTATAAGGAGGGTTGAGCTCCGTTGGGGGGCTGCTACGCCGGAGTGGGCCCGGCTGAAGCGGAACTGAGCGGGACTGAGCCTGATTCTAAGCGGGATTAAGCCAGATTCAGCTGGATTTCGGACCAGGGCAAAATGAGAATTTGACCTCCCAGGAGTTGCATCCGAAGACACCCTTGTACATTATTTCCTCTCTACGCGCGCAGGCAGTGGACGCTGTGGATGCGCCCCCCCGCCCCCCCCCCAAGGTCTCGTGCCGGGTCTTGTGAACGTTTTCTCGTTCGGCGTTTCGACATCGGGCGGAAGGGGGGGGGGAGTCGGGGGTCTGGCTCCGGACCTCTGCTCAGTGCGACTGTTTGCAGCAGTGCGTCCTACGGGGGAGACTCCACCTGCTTGAAACAGGCGCCAAAAACAGCCAAGACCTGCTCCATGGGGCAGGGAGGGGGGGGCGAGGGCCCGCGCCGACCGGCAAAACAATCAATGAAAAACGATCACCTTGCCGTCGCCGACGCCGAGATTGTTCAGGGCGATCCACGTGTACATGATCTCGCGCTCGCCTGGGAGGAACACGAGCACGTCGCCGGCGTGCTGGTCGAGCGCCCCGCGGACCACCCCTGCCACCTGAAGGAAGGACGCAGGCGACGACGCCAAGGTGCTTCTCTCTAGGGAGCAGACCCGGCACCAGAGGAGGGGGACAAGGAGGGGGACAAGGAGGGGCCGAGGTTTTCGAACGCTGGTTTGTCTTTCTTGTCTTTCTGGGACTGCGGAACGCATCCGGAAGCTTTTGAACGTTGGCGCCCGTTTTCGGGCATCCTGCAGGCATCCCGAGGCTTCCCGAGACCTCTGAAGGCCTCCGAGGACCTGCGGAGATCTCTGGAATCTCCTCCCCCCGCCATGTATACCTGGGCGGAGGGAGGAGGAGGAGGAGGAGGAGAAGGAGGAGGAGGAGGAGGAGGAGAGGCAGAAGGAGGAGGAGGAGGAGGAGGAAGAGGAGGAGGAGGATCGGATCGGAAGTCCGCGCAAAGGCCCCACCAGGGGCCACGGCTGAGGGCGTGCAGTCGCACGCGAGCGGCATGCAGGCCGCAGGCCACCACACACGGCGGGCAGAAAGACCGCAAGAGCAGCACGCGATGTCGGCCCTCGCGATCCCAAGCACGGAGGGGCCCGTCGGCACAGAGCGCACCCCGAAGGCGAGCAGGGCCCGGGGTCACCCAGACCCAGACGCCTCCTCGAAGCTTCCCCCGACGCCCTCCCTCCACCGAGGGCGCAGCGCGCCCTCGCCCCCGTGGCGCGCCCGCCCTGCTGCAGGCTGAGCTCCCTTGAGGGTCCGGCCCAGGCTGCCCTCCTGCCCCCGCCCCCCCCCCCTCTGAAAGCACGCTGTCCTCTCTTCTTTCTCGACGGCGGCTCCACCCGGTCTCCTCCTCTCTCCTCCTCCTCCTCCTCCCTCCTCTCCCTCCTCCTCCTCCTCCTCCTCCTCCTCCTCCTCCTCCTCCTCCTCCTCCCCCTCCTCCTCCTCCTCCTCCTCCTCCTCCTCCTCCTCCTTGGCCTCCTCCTCCTCCTCCTCCTCCTCCTCCTTCTCCTCCTCCACTTCCTTTGCTGCAGACATCCATCCTGGTGCGCACCTCACCCATGCAACCCGCAGCACGGAGGCCAGGGCGACAGTCCCTCTTCTCTCGGGCCAGAAAGCCAACGACATCAACCCACCTACGGCCCCACGAGGCATAGCGTATACCGGGGAATCTGGCGTGGGCTTGATCGGGGTATACGCTGCGGCACCCGATGGGCCGCAGCGCAACACGGAAGGCCGTAGGTGGGGTGGCGTCGTTTGTTTTTTGGTCGATCTCTCCCTCCCCCATTCCTGCCTCCCTGCATCCCACCCCTACTCGGTACAAAGTGAGGTGCACCCGCGGACAAACTACATGCAGGAGAGGAGGGACAAAGAACGCAGCAACATTGAGTGATTACAGGATCGTACAACGAGGAAGAGGGGACTACGTACCCGTAACAGCTCGAAATTGCTTGTGTCAATCTGAGTGTGCTAGAGATTGCAGCTTTCTTGGCATAAGAGGCTCAGCTGCTCCAGAGACATGCATAAAAAAGTCTGGAACCTGCGAGCTTCTGCCTGTCTACCCCTTCTCCTCCTGAAGGCCTTGGCTCGATTGGCTGAAATGCGCGACAGGATGTCTGCAGCTAAGGAAGTGGAGGAAGAGAAGAAGGAGGAGGAGGAGCAGAAAGAGGAAGAGAGGAGGAAGAGGAGGAGGATGAGGAGGAAGAGGAGGATGCCAGGTGGAGCCGACGTGCGAGAAGGGAGAGAGGTAAACGTATTTTCAGGAGGGGGGCGGGGGAAGGAGGGTGAGGAGGGCAACGAGGGAGACATTTTCTCGGCCCCGAGCTGTCATGAACGAGAGACGTGAGCACTGGGCTTGTATATCAAGATATGTTGAGTCATCGACGCGCAGTCACCATAACAGTTCCAAACGAACGTCGCTCCGCCGATGCCACTGCCGCGGTGGCTGATCCTCCTCCTCCTCCTCCTCCTCCTCCTCCTCCTCCTCCTCCTCCTCCTCCTCCTCCTCCTCCTCCTCCTTCTTGTCCCCTCAGTATTACCATCATCCTTCTCCGACTCCTCCAGCCCCCAGATGATCCTCGGGATCCGAATCCTCCCCTCGCCACCCGGGGGGGCAGGAGGAGAGACGAGGAGCGCGGCATCTTTGGGTCCCCGGCCCGATCCGACCGCAGCAAGGGGGCCGACCAGACTCGGCCCGATCCGCGCCCTCCGAGGAGGCGACGTCCTCCGCGAACTGCATGACGCCCTTCGAGTCCCAGTTGCCCAGGTCGGGGATGACGTCCCTGCCGCGCCGAGAGCGAGGACGCGCGCGGCCCGCGGTGGCTGCGCACGCACGCGCGGGAGGCGACTGCGCGAGCCCCTCCCCCTGCTGTGAGCGGGAACTGGGTGTCGCCTCTCCCCCGTCGCCCCTCGTCCTGCTCTCGCCGCCCCGCCCCTCCCATCCCCCCCCACCCCACCAGTCCACCTATGATCAAAACTGACAGTAAGGCTGCGCGATAAGGATGCACAGCCCCTTGGCCGCCCACGCACAAGCTTCTCGAGCGGGGCTGGCCATCGAAAGTGGCGGCGGGCGAACCGAAGAGGCAAGGATGCAGGGGTACCCTTGGACAGGTTACCCATCCTTGATCATCGCTTTCGACTGGATCCCCTGCTCGCTGCTCCAGGTCCTCCTTCCTTGCCCCGTGCCCCTCCCCTCTCAAAGGCAGGCATCTGCTCCTTCCACCCTCCAGTGATCCGCCACCGTGCCGCGATGCACCGAATGGAGTGCGCTGTCTACTAAGAGCTCTCAACTCTGAAAATTGAATACCCTTTGTAAGGGCCCGGAAGCCTTGAGGTCGGTGGCGTGACTCTTGGGCCCCGTCGCGTGACTGTCCCAGATGCCAAAAGGGCGTGGCTCACGACATACGCTTCCAACGTAGCTTCGGATGACCCATGGACCGTCCTGGAGCCCTCTTTGGCGCCTCCTTGGGTTCTCTCAGAGGCCCTGGGAGCCAGCACAGGAAACCAGCATCACGAAGTCCTTCTCGCACGTAGACTATGTGCGACTTTAACATTACCGCCTGTTCTGCTTCTGTCCTTGATGAGCGTTCTAGACGGCCCAAGCTTCCCACGAAGCCCCCAAGACGTTCCAAAAAGGAGGAACACGAATCGACATTTTGAGCCCTCCATCCCAAGATGGCCACGGAATCCCCCCAGAGGCCCCCGAGGCGCCAACAGGCCCCCTTGAGGCCTCAAAGAGGCCCAACTGAAGCCCCCAAGAGGCCCCCGAGGGGCATCCCAAGGGATCCACAAAAAAACGAAAATGCATATGACACAAACCCCAGGGCATGACGGTGGGATGGGCCGAAGGCCACTTAGAGATCCTTCTTCCCCCTCTTCTCCTTCTCCTCCTCCTCCTCCTCCTCCTCCTCCTCCTCCTTCTCTCGCTCCTCCCCCCCCGCCCTTCATCGTCCCAACGCGGCTCGTGCCGCTGCTGCCGCTCCGGCCCCTCGGCCTATATCCCGCTCCGGCTGCCGCTGCGCACTCCCCCTCGCTCGTGCACACGCAGGCGGCCGGCCCCCGCCCCGCTGCGAGCCGAGCGCAAGCATCCCCGGGGCTCTCGACCAGGCTCCCGGCACACGGGAGGAGGGAGGAGGGAGGAGGGAGGAGGGAGGAGGGAGGAGGGAGGAGGGAGGAGGGAGGAGGAGGAGGAGGAGGAGGAGGAGGAGGAGGAGGAGGAGGAGGAGATGTGGCGCCATGGCGAGCGCGCGGCTCTCGGGTGCCGGCCCGGCAGCATCGCCCGCTACGACCGCGTCGGGGAGGACGGTCCCGGACTCTGGCGGGAGGCCCGTGGCCAGCCTCTCAGGGGCTTCCCCCGCCCCCTTCCTGGCGGGCTGCTGACCTGTGTTACGGAGCCCGTCGTATGCTGCCCGCGGCGAGGCACGCACCGGAGGCACAGAATCACGCCCACCATTGAGGTGAGCCAGGCCGTGGGGACCGTGGCACGCACTCGGAGGCCAAGGAGTGAAAAGAGGCAACGTCCTTCTGTAAAAGCCGGCGAGAGGTACACATCACATGTGGACCCCTTCGATGCTTCGGCACGGGGAGAGAGGAGGAGGTGGAGGTGGAGGACGAATGAAGGAACAATGAAACGGAGGTGGAAAAGGAGGAGAAAAAAGGAGGAGAAGAAGTACGAGGAGGAGGACGAGGACCAGACTCAACCCAACATGCATCAATCAATACCACAATACACCTCCCGTCCTAAACTCCCGCTTGCTAAGTCCATACGAGCCCCCCCACCCCCCCTTGAACGACGAGCGGCGGGTCGGTCCGCCAGTTGGACGAGAGCGCCTGTTGCAAAAGGTCATCCGCCCACTTGGAGGGCACCCTAGAGGAAACCCCATCTGGAAAGCACAGCCCCCCCTAGCCGTCCGAGCGCTGCATGGGTGCCACAGTCGCGGACGCAGCATGTTCGCATATAAGTCTCGGGCGAAGGCCCCGCTTCTAAAAGAGAATCCGCCCTCCATCCGTGCGAGCTACTGATCGGTATAGAACGCAGGGTCGTAGTGCTCGGGGAAGCGTCAAGTGGGTATAGATGGTGGGCTTCGTATCCGAGTGTGCGCGAAAAACCAAACGGAGACTCCAATACGGCTAGGGCGTTCGTCCAGGGATATGCCCCAGAGGCTGAAGAACCTGGCGGACTTCAAATAGGATGAAGGCGGCGGTGATATCCATGGCCGATCCACAATTCGAGTTCCACTGGCTTCCAGACCCTGGATCTCTCACGTAAAGGGCTCCCTGGTCTAATGCCCTCACCGTCTTGGAAAGGATGCGCCATCCACTCGCGCAGCTAAAGACAATCTGCAAGCCGAGCATTCGCGGCACCAGAGCGAGAGCCCCTTTTTTGAAAGCGGCCCGCCATCCACCTGTTCTTTTGTACTGTAGAATGACGGTGTGCGGCGCCAGCAAAGCCAAAGCCCCAGTCTGAAAAACCGGTTATGGTCCACACGCCAGCGCGATCTAAACTCACAATCTCCTTGAGGACTCCTGCGCGACGAGGACGATGAAGATGAGGATGTGCATGCTGCTGCTGCTGCTGATGGCGACGGCGAGCCCAGAAGCTCTTGCGGAGTGGTTGTGGCGTCTGGGAGCGTTTGGGAACGTCTTGAAGCGTATGGGAGCGCCTGGGGCAAAGCGCTTGGGTCCAAAGTCGGAGTCGGCGAGGGGTGCCCGAAACGCATCGATAGATCGTGAATGCTCTATCGATGGATTGATGTATTCTGACGCTTGTGCCCATGTGCTTCTCGGGGCCAGCGGGTGGGCCGATGTTGAAAATCATCAGATGCGCATCGAATATCATTTGTAACGTAACATGGTGAGGTCTGGGTCAAATGGTTGTGCACCGAATTGCATGTCGTGAAAAGGATGGTGAGGGTTGGGTCGGATGGACGTGCACCGAGGAGTATTTGTTTGATAAGACGGTGAGGGCTGGGTCGTATGGGAGCGTGCCGATAAAACTGTGTTTCATGAGACAGTGAAGGTTGAGCCATATGGATGTGAACATATTTGCATGTGTTGGCCTAGGATGGTAAGGGTTGGGTCAGATGGATGTGCACCTAACAACGCGTTTTGCAAAAGGTGGTGAGGCGCTAAGGCGAGAGCCACATTTTGAAAAAGGAGCCCGCTTACATCCTTGAAGCTGCTGCAAATGTTTGACAGCGAATGTGCGCGGTGCTAATGCGAGAGCCACGTGTTGAAAACGAACCGGCCTCCTATCCTTGAGACTGGAACGTCTTGTTGAAACGATTGTGTGCGGCGCTACGGGGAGGGAGAGCCACAATCCAGAAAGCCATCCGGGCTCCACCCTTAGAGCTGTTGCATATCTCAAGCTTGAGGATCACAATTGGCGAGAAAAACTCTGGCGAAACGCCAAGCCCGGCCTACGGACACATCCGGTGGTGCGACAGAGAGGAGTTACTTAAGGAGGAATGGAGGGGAGAGGAGCAGAGAGAAGGAGGAGGAGGAGGAGGAGGAGGAGGAGGAGAAGGAGGAGGAGGAGGAGGTGGTGGTGGAGGAGGAGGCAGAGGAGGAGGAGGAGGAGGAGGAGGAGGGAGAAAGGGAGGAGGGAGGAAGGAGGAAGAGGACGAGGAGCCGGCGCCGGGGAGCCGGACGCCCCGCGGGATGCCCAGGCCGATCGGCGGGCCCGCGGGGGAGGCCAAGCAGCCCGACCGCGGGACCCCGCGGGCGTGCGACCTGCACGGCCGCCGCGCGGACGTGCCGCTTCTGCGCTCGGACGCGCGGCGCGCGCGTGGCCTTGCGCTCGGGCCCGCTTGGTGCCCCTCCATTGAGCAGAGACCGACCTTCCCGGCATTCCTAAAAGGCCTGCCGCGGACATTTTCTCGGAGCCGAAGAGAGGTTCTGAGAACAAGGAGAGGGTGCTCGGAGCACGAGCCCGATGTGCCTCATCAAGACAAGATCAGCCAGAACCGTTCTGAGAACCTTTCCGGCGAACCACAAAAACTTCGGAACATTCCTTGGTGTGCCTGTGGGCGAACCAGGACGTTTCGCCACTCCTTGATCCCCGCCTCGGCGCGGAGCGTAGAAACGCGCAGGCGCCGCGCGGGCGCGCGGGAGCGCGGGCGCGCCGGCGGCATCGCTGGAGACCGCGCCCCCCAGCGAGATCGACCGCCGACCCGCCCCGCGCAAGCTTTGGCATTGTATAGGGCGCTGCCACAAAACAGTAAAGGGTACTGGGGGGGGGCTTGGGGAGAGCGAGGTCGGATCTTACCCTGGGGCACTTGTAGATATTCACACATGCCCCTCGGAAGCAATCGACTAAGGCTGCAAATTGCCTGGTGCAAGAACTTATACGCACATTAAGCACAGGGGCACGGCGCTCCTCTCCTCTCCACTCCTCTCCTCCCCCCTCCTCCTCCTCCTCCCCTCTTCTCGCCTTTCCTCTCCTTCCTCCCCTCTCCTCTCCTCTCTTCCCATTATCATTCTCCTCCTTCTCCTTCGGCGCCCCCCCGTCTCTCTTCCCATCCTCCCACCACCTGCCATCCCATCTTCATTCAGTTGACGCTTTGGGTCGTAGTCTGACCCTGCTGTTTTTATTGATATTGGTGTGCCTCCCGATCTCACGTCTCGTCCTACTATTCGTTCGCGTTCGTACCTGCTCTGTCTGCCCCGTCTCCTCCAGCTTCGCTGTCATCGTGGCGTCTTTGCCCCATCCACCCCCAACCTAGCTCACGAGGGACGACAGCGACGACCAGGGCGACTGCGGCGGCATCGTCAGCGGCAGCGC